TTTAGATTTAACCTTTAAAGTATATCTTATATATTCTATAATATTATTTAGTACCTCTTATACCTCTTAGAATAACTTAAAAATAGTATTAATAAGAGGTAATAATTAGCTTTCTCTAGATAGGGATCTTTAAGAGCTATTATTAATAGAAAGGAGGGTATAGAAATTAGGTATATAGCTTAGTAGGTATATATAAGGAAAGGAATTATTTATATAGAAGTAGATTTAAGATATTTAATTACCCCTAGGGGGTGGTTAGAGAGATAGAGCTATATTAGTAATACTTTATAAGCTATATATTTAAGTAGTTTTTAGTAAAGTTAGAAGTTAATATACTACTATAATATTAAGTAGGGTTATTTATATAAAAGTATACTATTAAGATTAAAAGTATATTAAGTAGCTAAGCCCTTTCTAATTTATTTAAGTTTTATTAGCTTAATTAAAATATATATTATTTTTCTATTTTTATTTTTCTAAAATTAATATCTATTATTTTTATTATTTTTATAATTAAAATAATAACTTCTATTTTATATAACTTTATTAGCTTAATTAAGTTTAAGTTAACTCTTTTTTATTTTTTTTTACTTTAGATATTATTTATAATCTTTTAATAGTTTATTATCTTTATTTACTTTTAAGTTCTTTTACACTACTTATATATAAATAGCCTCTTTTAATAAAACTTTATAGCTCTCTTTTCTAAGTTTAAAAAATAAAATAATAATATTTTATAGAATTAAACTTATAATAGTTATAATAATATTTTATTATTATTTTTAATATATATAGTTTATTTAAATATATTTTATTTTTATAAAATATCTTTTTATTATATAAGTTTATTATTATAATTATATTATAAATAGTTAATAGTAAAGTTATTTTATATATTATTATTATAATATCTTTTAGATCTTTTCTTTAATATATCTCTTTAAGTCTCTTTTTAAGATCTCTTTTATAATAATTATATATATTTACTATTTTATTATTATTATAAAGCTAAATATCTTTTTTCTTTATACCTTTTTACTTATTATCTTCTTTTTTAGTCTTTCCTTTATAAAGGTAATAAAGGTAGTATATATATAGATTATAATCTTATATTTATATTTTATTAAGGTAGCTTTCTTAGCTTTTAATCCCTTTATAACTATTATAGTATAGCTATTTTTTACTATTAATAGTCCTCTTCTTTTATAGTTAGTTATAATTATCTCTCTTTTTATATCTTTTACTTTTAAACTATAATTTATCTAAAAGCTCTTTTTTATAATTATATTTTCTATTATTTTTTATATTTTTATATTTTTTATATTTTTTATTTTTATCTTTTACTTTTTATCTTTATTTAATATTAATATCCCCTCCCCTCTTTATATAAAGTCTTCTTTCTCTTATTTATAGCTCTTTTCTATTTTTTTACTTTCTTTTTTTAATTTTAGCTATTACTAACCTTCTTATCCCCCTTTTAAAAAAAAAGTAGATCTAATCTTCCTAATTTATAACTACTTTTCCCCTTTTATATAAGCTTATTATTATTAACTTATTTAATAACTATATTTATCTTTTTATATAGTAAAGATTATTTATATAAAATTAACTTAAATTATTCTTTTTAGTTTTTATAATTATAATAGTTATAATTATAATATTTATAGATATATTATTTATAAAAATATTATTTATAAGTATAAATATATAAACTATACTCTTTTTATAGTTTCTAATTCTTTACCTTTTTCTCTCTTAATTACCCCTCTCTATAAGTAAATAATAATACTAGAAGTATAGGTAGTAGTCTTAGTTTAGATTCTAATAATAAGACTAATAATACTTTATAAGTATTCCCTTTATTATTTATATCCTAGCTACTATTACTACTTACCTATTTATCCTTATTACCCTTTATATATTAAGGTTAGCTACTACTAGTAGAGGGGCTACTATTAACTAGCTATTATAGTTAGGAATTTTACCTAATCTAAATCTAATTAAATATATCTAGGTATATATAAAATAGTATTTATAAAAATGATATTATTAAATAAAAGTAAAACTAACTATTAGTTAGATAGAAATATAAGTAGACTTACTAATAGAATATATTTAGATATAGATTAAATAAGTATATTTATCTATATTTAGTAGGTTATTAAACTAAAGGGTAGAAATAAATATAAAAGGGAAGAAATTTACTAAAAAGTAATTATAAGTAAGATATTAGGATATCCTTATTTTTATTTATCTAAAAGAGTAGCTTATTATTATTATTATTATTAGTATATTATTTTACTATCTTTTATATAATATATAGTCCTTCCTCCCTTTTATAATAATAAGGTAAAAAACCTGCAAGGTGCTAAAACCCCTATCCCCTATTATCTACCTACCCTCATAATGCCCTTACTATACTATTAGCTTATTATAGGTCTACTATGATCAGTAGTATATAGCTATAGGTTCGCTATGCCCCCTCCCCCTAGCTTAGCAGCGATCTACCTAGGGTCCTACTAAAAAGAGTAGCTTAACTTTTAGTCTTATCCCTTAGTATTAGATCTTTAAAAAGATAAATATTACCTTCTAATTAGAAATATTTTTAGCCTAATTAAAAAAATTATATCAAAATAATCTATAAAGTAAACTATATATATTTTAAAGTTAAATTATAGTAGAGGTAAAAGTTTAAAGAATTCTAAGCTAGATAAAGACCTACTTTTTATCTAATATTATCACTTAAAATAGAAGCTAATAAAGCTAATAAAATAAAATAAAATATTATTATTTTTAATACTTTATATACTACCTATTTATTATAATTATAGCTATAACCTAATATAATAATATATCTAATAGATAGACTATAATATGATTATAGATACTTTCCTAAGCTTCTTTTACTATAGAAATAAAGATTTCTAATATATCTAGATTAAGTAGTATTTTTACAAGATCTAAACCCTATTAAGAATATCTAGAAGCTATTAAGATCTATAAATAATAACCTAACCTTAAGTATATAATAAATAGACTATAATATTAATTTATAAGATATCTAATAGTTCTATTATAATCCTAATAATATAAAAGGGGCTAGATTAATCTAATAGAGTTTATAAATAATATAGGCTATAACCCTTTATCTACTCTATAAATTTAGGTTAATTTCTAAAGGGATTAGGTTTCTTTATTAGCTATAGCTAAAGGTAGCCTATAGTATCTTATAACACTAACTATTATAAGAAGAGGTATTAGTATTACTATTCCTTAGCTATTTAGAAGGATATTTAAAGGTCTAGGGAACCTTAGTACTAACCCCTTAGATAATAGTATATTTATTACTCTATATTATATATTACTAGTCCTAGGGGTAAAATACTAGTATATTTAGGCCTAAAAGAGCTTTCTAGTAGTATAATCTTCTATAATATAAGGCTATTATTACTAATACTACTTTAAAAGTCTATTTTATATATAAGTACCCTAATAGAATATACCTTAACTTTATAGTTAATAGTAGTAAAAAGATCTAAGATCTTTATAGTTAGATAAGCTTTAATAGTATTATATATAATAGTCCTATCTCCTTTTTTATATAACTATTAGTAACTAGACTATAGATTTAACTTATTTTAACCTTTATAGCCTTCTAGGGTATCATTTTTTATTGTTATTAAAGTATATTTTTAAAGTTATCTATTATTAAAGGTTTATTATTAATTATAGTTATAATAACTTATATTATAATATTATTAGTAAATTAATATTACCCTATTTTACTATCTTTGTTATAATATATAGTCCTTCTTCCTTTTAATAATACTAAAGTAAAAAACTTCTTTAATATTAAAAACCTTTATCCCCTACTTTATTTTATACCTAGTATTTTTTATTATAATAGCTTTAGTATAATAACTACTACTATTATAATAACTTTTAATATAATAATAACTAGTTAAATAATATTAATAAATTTATAATAAATTAATAATATTTTATAACTTTTTATTAATTAATTAGATATATTTTTAAATTAATATAAAAAAATAGGATATATATAATTTAGATATAAGTTTAATTAAATATATAGACTATACCTATAATAACTATTATAAATATTTAGAAAAGTTTAATAGAGATAGTAAGAGAAAGCTAAGAATAGATATAAATATTAAATCTTTAATAATTAGATTAATAAAATATTAAATATTCTTTATAATATTATTAAAAGTAAAAAAATATATAATACTTTAAGAGTTTATTAGTTAATATATTATTATATATTTATTTTTTCTATACTAAATTATTTCTCTATTTAATAATATATAAATAATTATATAATAAACCCTTTTAATTATTATTTTAAATATTTTATTAAATTTATTAGAATTTTAGCTAAAATGTATAAAATATAAAATATAAAATTATTATATTTAATAGATAATATTTTATTATTAATAAATTTAATAATAAAAGATTTATATATATTTAGAGGTATTTTTATTATATTTAATATTAATTTATAATTTTTAAATACCTTTATTTTATATTTTGTATTTTATATTATTAAATATATACCTTTAAATTTTAATATAATTATTAATAATATATTATTTCTCTTTAACTTTTATTTTCTCACTATTTTATTAAAATTAAAATTTATATATTCATTTTGTTAAATATTTCTTTACTTCTCCTTAAATCTATATTTCCCTTCCTTTTCTTAAACTTCTTAAATACTTCTCTTCTCTCTAGTACCTTATCCTTATTATGAGTGACCAAAGCTTTCAATCATGGCAGTGGCTTTATCCACCTTGTCTTTCACCCTCTATAGTACTCCCTCCCTAACCCAGGAAGACTTTCAGCATGTCATTGGCGCGCGCCTTGGTGATGAATGTTTCTATTGTGGCGATTGTGTGCTCCTTCGAGCTGAGGGCACTGGACCTCCCTGGGTGGCCATAATTCGTGCCTTTACAACTGATGAATTTGGCCGAATGGCTGCTGATTTTGTCTGGTTCTCAAATGAGAGAGAAGTTCGAAATACAGCAAGGAAGAGGACGGATTTCTTACCAGTGGGCTACATATATATGATTTAATTTCTGAGGTGCCAATAATAGCTTGCTAACTTTCTTATAGAATGAACTCTATATATCCCTTTCCTCTGATGTGAACCCTCTTGAGGCAATTGATGGCAGAGCAACGATAATCTCTGTAGACAAGTTTTGTCGCCTATACCCTTCGCAGAAAATCCCACATCATTCCCAAGATGCCGGCCACCTGTTTGTCTGCCGAAGAGGTTTGAACATGCGCACAACCATCTATACCGAGGAATTTATCTGGGAAGAGAAGTATCGGGGCCTGGAGGACCTTGACAATTTAGTTGATTTCGTCTCGAAGACTACCCAGCGCACTCGGCGACTACCATCACAAGTATCTAAACAACCCCTTCTCCAAGGCAAGGTGTATACTCCTCAACGGTCGGAGCAGACCCCGCAAGAGACCGGGTCAAACGAAGTGTCTCTTCAGTACAGGTTCGCTCTTCCCCTTTCATTGTAAACCATCAGCATGGGAACTAAAGGCTAGCAGTAAACCTATTAATAAAAGGAATCTTGAGTTCACGCCCTCGCGACGCGGAGTGCGTCCAACGAGCCCGCCTCCACCCATTTCCACGCCGCTAGGAGTCGCCTTCATGTGGCCGCAGTCCCCGCGAGCCTGCCTGGGCGGGAGAGAGAGTTCCAGGATGTATACATACAGTTAGAAAAGGCGGTATCAAGCGGAACTAGCAACTGCATATACATCTCTGGGACACCTGGAACAGGTAAAACCGCAACTGTTCGTGAGGTGATCCGCCAGCTAGAACACGCCGTTGAAACCAACAACCTCGACGATTTTATTTTCGTTGAGATTAATGGCATGAAGATCACTAATCCCCATCAGGCATATGTCATCCTTTGGCAGGCCCTAAAAGGAGACCGTGTCAGTCCCAGCCAGGCTTTGGACCTTCTGGAGCGAGAATTCAGCTACCCTAATCCTCGGCGAGTTTCTTGCGTCGTCTTGATGGATGAGCTGGACCAACTTGTCACGAAAACCAGAGTGTGATGTACAACTTTTTCAATTGGCCCTCATTGCGACATAGTCGCCTCGTAGTACTAGCAGTTGCAAATACCATGGACCTGCCTGAGCGCACTCTTAGTAACAAGATTAGCAGTCGCCTAGGTACGAATTTCCCGATTATCAACTTTGCAGAGCTCTAACACACATTACTAGGCTTAACGAGAATCGCGTTTCCTGGGTACACTCACGAGCAACTTGTACAGATCATCCAATCTCGTCTTGAAGGTGTTCCAGGAAGAATTGTTGACCCGGATGCTATACAGTTTGCCAGCAGAAAAGTAGCCGCTGTTAGTGGCGATGCCAGGAGGGCCCTCGATATTTGTAGGAGGGCTGTAGAAATCGCCGAGGCGGATAGTACTAGGACAATAGGAAACCTGGCCTTTTCCGAACGGGCACAAATTCCAAGCAATCAACATCGAGGAGCAGCGGTCTCCATTTCCACAATCAAGCGGGCTATTAACGAAGCCACCTCTAATCCCGTACAGCAACACCTCCGTTCTCTTTCGCTTCTCTCAAAGTTGCTCTTGTGGGCCATATTGGGTAAGATCAAGAGATCGCGTAACATGGAGACGACCATTGCGGACGTTACAGATGAGTTGTCTCTAATCATGAAGGCGTGTTCTGCTCATTTGGAACAGGAGGACTTCGGCGCGTTTTCCGCATTGGTATTGGATGGGCCTGAGGAGGTTAGTTACTGCAGGGGACTGGACATACCACGCCATATAGGCGTGAACACTGCAGCCCTCGACCTCGAAGCCGCTGGTATAATCATACTTGAAGATCACATGTCAAACCGCCCTAATAAGATCCGCCTTGCATTCTCAGAGGGCGAGATAAAGATGGCTTTCCGCGACGATCACGAACTCCGGAGGCTGCGCATAAACTTGTAACCCGGACGTGAAGGTAGGCGCGGGCTGTTTGAACTTCAGTATAGTTAACTTAGAATTTGCGCCGCACTATGGATGGAGACTGGTTAAGCGGATGGCTTTGTGGAGTTGCAGCGTCATCCTGCTTCCAGATTTTAACTAAGTGAGAAAAAGGCCTTGTTAGTATATTAACGGCGACGATCTTACATGTCTCCTTACTTGTCTTGTCAGCTTCACCACAAATCAGTCGCATGCCAGATTGATCGAACGTAGCACTCATTATGCCACCTTCTGCATCTAAAGAGCCGGGCTGGGCCGTCGTGCCAAGTGACTGGAACTGATGGCCGGACTTCCAGTCCCAGAAACTCATCGATCCATTATCCCTATATCGAGAATTGTGAGTGACGTTGCATATTCGGCCTGCATTGACAACCTGCTTACCACCGGAGAAGAGGACATTATCTGCGTTGACACAAAGTGTGTTGATAATGGTATTTTGGCCCTCAAAATTCTGCATGAAAGCACCCTCAGGGCACTTCCACTGTTTGATACTGCCCGTACTTGCTGAAGCGAATGTGAACTCGGTTGGGTGGAGCGCAAGAGCCCGGACGCCCTTTTTGTGGTGTGTAAGCACCCCCATGGCTTTCCCCGCTGCTAGGTCCCAAAGCCTGACAGTAGAGTCTAAAGAGGTCGTGATTACTTGAGGATCGACTTCTTGACAGCGCAGATCTGACACAGTTGCCGTATGGCCACTCAAAACATGGATATTGCTCCGGGTGCGCATATCCCACACTCTCGCTACACCATCTCTTCCGCCCGTTACCAGTACATCGAGGGTAGGGTGGAGGGATAGAGCGTAAACGCCGCTTAGGTGACCATGGTAATGCCGAATTACTTTGTTTGTTTCTAGATCCCAGCATTTGACCATCTTATCCTCGCCGCAAGAAAAAGGTAGGGGTGACGACGAGATACTGCAAGGCCGCGAACTGTGGATATATGGCCAGTAAGTGTTAGACGCAGGCTCCCAGTGGCTAGGTCCCAGATCTTGATTGTCCTATCCCCTGCGCCGCTCGCAAACCATTTGTTGTCAGGCTCCACAGCTAGGCTCCTCACCCAGCCCAAGTGACCTGAAATAACTCTCATAAGCTTCCATGGCGCATGCCACTCAGGGCTCGGATCTGAGAGCTGAGACTGTATGTCTAGAGTGTGAGGATGGCCACTTCGAGACCTTCCATCTAACTCTCGGTCGCTGGTGGGTCGAAGGGTAAGGGCCGACGAGACTGGCTCCGGTAATAAATCCGCCTGCCGCACTTTCCCTGAAGCGTTCCGTATGTTGTTAATGGAGGGCTTTCTTCGTGTACTTGAGGTTTGTCTTGCTGCAAGTTTGTGTGGCAAGGACAGGGTATGAGTGTACTCTGTTCGTAAAGTTTCACCAAGCGGTGGGCGTGATGATTGACCTTCTCCAGGCTTAGATGTTGTGCCCGTTGGTGTTGACTGGCTGGCGAACCAGGTTCGACGAAGGTATGAGTTATTAAGAGCAAGCACTTCGAGTTCCGTAAGAGGATGTTGATATTCGTTAGATTCCATCTCGTATATAGCCAATTTCTGGTCAAGTAGTGATCTAATTCTCAGGTGGGCATGAGCTGCGCAGGAGCAAGAGGCATTGACTTAGCTGTTGAAGGCGGACTGAATTACTTCAGATTTGTTAGCTCTCATTTTTAAATTGGGTCGGGGCTGTATATTCACTAAAGAGACTTCAAAAGAGCCGTTTAGCACCTTTAAATGCATATGGGAGGAGCTTCTCAAGCGGTATTGAGCGTTGACAAATCAAGATCTAGCGAGCTTCTTCTTGCGTTCTTTGAACAGCTAATTTTCGATCAACACATATACTCTCTAATACACCATTAAGCGCGGAAAATGTTAAAGGACACCGAGTTTCTATTGCATCAAGCCTCGCGGCTTGGCGACGGTAAGGTGGCTCTCTTTGGTTTTGAAGGCTTCTGGAACTGAGAAGGCAACAATAGTATCGCGAGCTGAGGAGATCCTACAGGTATTGTATTAAAAAATTCCGTGGCCTTTTGTAGTTCTCTCCGTCTCCTCACCACTATCTAGCTTTCTCCCCAGCAAGCATTTGTGCAGGACTGTGATGGGCGACTGCCAATACACTGGGCGGCATCATCGAATAGCGTAGATGTTGTTCGATTACTCGTAGGCCTCTCAGGTTTCGACCCAGATACCCAGGTAATCCTTGCGACACTTAAGTGAAAGATTGGCCTTTAAATCCTGATATTTTATAGGATGCCAGTGGCTGGTCCCCGTTAATGATTGCTGCGAACGTCTTGAATTCCGATCAAATTATGTCACTTTTACTTGCCAAGGGTGCAGATATCAATCAACAGAGTAGGCAATACTGATGATATCCAAGAGTAAAGTTCTCACCGACGGCGGAAAACTGACTTCTTCTGTTTCCCAGATAATAATGGCCAGGTACTATCTATGCCCATGATAACGGAAGTTAACTTCAAGCCAACACCTATTTTCACAGACTGTGCTTCATCTTGTCTCATCAAAGGGGAATCTTGAGCTTGCTCATGCTCTATTTAAACAGCAACCCCAGCCATCAGCTAGAATTCGAGACAGGCGTGGCCAATACGCAATTCATAGAGCAGCTGCCGCGGGCTCTGTACCTATGGTTTCGTTGCTTCTGAATCATCGTAGCCCTATAAATGCTACTGACAAAGACGGATTCACTGCTCTTCATCATGCAGTTGCTGAAGGACACGGTAAGGGGCCTTGAAAAGTATGGTTCATTTTCGTGGAACCTCATGATTAACCGAGAGCAGGAGATGTCGCAGTCACACTGATGAAAGCTGGCGCCGACATGGATAAACGCAACATCGAAGGCCTCCTTGCGATCGACCTCGCGCCAGACGTAGCGGTTAGTCCCCCACGAAATTGAAATTTCATCGTACTGATGCGTTCGGGTCTTGGTGCTGAAGGTTCGGCGATATATTGAGCGAGAATCTGAGCGGGAAGGCATTGAATTGGTTCCTAACATGGGGGATGTATTGAGCAGCAGCCACTTGTTTAGGGTGGGTTAAGATTGTGACAGCTAGGTGATAGATCAGACTGTACGTTCCACCAACTCCCGATACATAGCCTTGACGTCGAGAATGTCTGCACGTAATTCCTCTACAAGCTCGCTTTTCTCTCCAAGCAATTCAAGAGTGGTCAAATATCGCTCATTGATACACTCAACATCACTTTCTAACTGCCGCACGCGGACCGCTGCTTGTTTGTGTTCCTGTACTTCCCTCATGAGAGACACGATCTGGGTCCGCGCATCATCTCGCTGGCGGGAGATACGTAGCAGTTCTTCTCGAGTAGTGAACTTTTCAGCCTCGAGCCTTCGTATCCCGGCGCTCATCCTTTCTACCAGCTGTATTGACGGACCGGCTGCTACAGTTGAGAGGGACATCAGGTCATGGACGCTGTGTTGTGATGGATCGTTTAGGCTAGGATTGTCATTCAAGACGGCAGCCTCGTTATGAACGTCCGCAAGGGGTTCTGGTAGCAGGCTCGGGGATACAAGATGCTGCGAAACGGATGTACTAGGAGATATCGGGGTAACTGGTGTCTGAGGGAGGTCCCGTGAGGAGGTTTTTGTAGTGTTCACACTCGGTTGCAAGCTTTCGTGCCTCGTCGTATCGTGGCCAAACATTGGAGCAAGTGCGTCATCATTTCCACACAGGGAATGTTCCGAACTTGAAGACCCTACACAGGACCCGCCCCTGTCTCGTTGAATAGCCAAGCGAATTCCCGCATCCGGGCCCTGGCCGCCATGTACCGTTCCCGACTGTAGTACTTCGCCATGTTTCCGTAACGCTTCTACCTGCTCCCGTAACCGCGATATTTCTTGCCGCGATCCCTCGATCTCGTGTTGGTTATAGGCGGTCTGGGATCTAATTTGATGTAATTCTTCCGCCTGCTGGCGGTACTTTGATGACTAGAAGCACACATTAACTATTGCCCTTCCAATTCGGAAATTGTTCGGAGTATGTTACCAGGTCTTTGGCCTTCTTTCTAAATTCCGCCTCTCTTGAGAGCATCTCACCCCGCTCCCGGTCTTGGGACGCAATTTTAGATAGGAGGCTCGCTTCTATGCCTTGCCAGTTTTCACGAGCTATCGCATGCTGGGATTGGAGGGTCTCGATCTGGCGAAGAAGGTTTGATTGCGGGCCTCCACTGATGTTAGTTGTTTCTTCGATGATAATCCGCAGGCCCTCTAGTTTATTCTCAGAGGTCTCCAGTTCTGTCTTTGTTTGAAGGTACAACTTTTGGTTCATCTCCGCCCGGCGGCGGTATTCTTTAAGGTCTGCGTGAACACCGTCTAGCGTAGCCTTCTGATCTGATATCCTGGTAGTAAGGGCCAACTCAAGTTCCGCGATGCGTAGTCGCGCTTCTGCAAGAAGTCCATCATCAGCCTCCGAGGTGGTGTTTCCTAGCAGATGTCCTGAATTCTCGAGTTCAGCCTTCAAGCTAGCTATTTTTCCGTCCTTGGTAGAAGACTCCCCTCGGAGATATATTATCTCATTGTTTAAATCCGAGATGTTTCTGCGCGATGTCTCCAAGGCGAGTTGCACACCATCAAATTTGAGTTCCATTTTTGACATGAGGTTCTCATGCTCGGTCTTGAGCTTCGCAAGCTTCAGATCACTTTCTGCCCTCTGGGCTGTTATCCGTTTAATCAACGAGCGATGTTTTTGCTCAGTGGTGGCTAGAGATTGGCCTTCTGCCATCAGCAAACTGATCTTCTCGTTCCGCTCCGCTAATTGTTGCTCAATGCTGCCTGTGGGTGCAGCTACAGCGGCCTTTCGTGCTGACTCGGCAATTTCACGAGTTAGGTAGCGCAATTTAGATCCAAGGGCATCTAACTTTTCAACATAGCTGTTTTGCTCTTCACGACTCTCGGATTGCTGTTGAGCTAGCTCGATTCAAGAGCGGCAATTCTACCCGAAAGTGTAGAGCAGACCTGGCAGGAGTATGATTTGACTTCCTCACTGCTCACAGACGAGCCATCCCAAGTTTTACTTCTGTCTGGGGGTTTTAGCACTAGGAAGAGGGTTCATAGTGACTGGAGAGTAAGGCCGAGCTTGCTCCAGCGAAGAGCCGTGAATCTCTAGAGTGTACACGACATCCTCGTTGTCTCTATTAAGCCCCGACCGAGAGGGTTCCGAATGCTGGCGTGACGGGGATGTGGGTGGAGTTGCATTAGGGGATAGTGGCTCAGTGGTTACAGCTTTGTCTAAGCCTTCAAGAAGCCTTCCGCTTACACCGTCCACCTTGGAGGTTTCTATGATAGGATGGTACGAGTGAGAATGGTTCCTGTCTCTATTGAAGTAGGTCCTTACCATCTGGAAGATTAGGTCGTGCTTCTATATCGACTGAGGTGGTGCTGCGTGACGGTGGTTGTGCTGACTGTGGCAGAGGGTCCGTATCTGCAAGTATGGTATCTAGTCGCGCTTCCACGCCGGCGACCGCTTGTTGAAAGAATGTTCCCCATTTTGAGGGGATTCCTGACGCCATTTCAACTATAGGGACAGCCAGTATATTTTATTTGACGAGTAACCTAAAGGGTTGAAAATCAGGTTCTCCCTCAGCGTCCATCTACAGACGCCGCGTGAAGCAAGGCAATCACCACTTCACGAATCTTTGATGGTAGCTTGAGTTTGGTCAACATGGGAAGTGCTCATTGCTCGGAGTTCGAAACCTCACACCGACATGCAAATCATAGCATGTGTGGTGCTGGGTAATAGATGCTCAGTTTTGAAAGAGAAAGGTTTGGTTGGCACCTTCGCTTGAGGCTTACAGCGCTTAAGCCTCAAGCAATCGTGGAGTCTCGCTCGATATATGTAAGTAAACGAGCGTATTCTTGAATCAGACTCCAAGCGAGGTATATGCAAGGCTCGCTTTCCACTGTTCGCATCGTTGAAAGGGCTTGGGTGGTCATCACGTGCCCCGAAGTCACAGCCCGGGCCTGGAGGTCTAACCTTGAGTCAAGCCTTGAGGAACTGCTATTAATGTCTGCCTCCTAATCAGTTTGCTACTCACAGAGTACTCGACAACAATTCGGTCAGATATCTCATCATATATATCTTGTGAATATGGCGATCTCTAATCTAGCCCTTGAGAAGGTAATTTCAAGACCAACTTTGACTATGAGCCTGTGTCTTGTTAATTCTCGTTCTTTAGCTTATACGAGAAATTGAGAGCCAAGCTGCCGTTGCCGAGCAGCAGATCGGCCTTTGTCGTACCCAGATATCATCAAAGCAAAGGGAAATCCGTTTATTGGGGCTGACCCTCGATGAGCTTTCGCTTGTGTCACAAAAGACTCCAATTTATGAGGGTGTTGGTAAAATGTTTGTCTTGACAGGTTGCTGCTCTTTTGAGGATTGGGTAATTGACCAAATTATATTCTAGGTTTGTGTTAGCACCATCCACACAACTTAGCAAAAAGCTAGAGTCGGAACTTCAAATATTAAGACAAGATATTGAAGGTCTTGAGAAGCGATTAACTTACTTAGAGACAACACAAAAGAATAGTCGTGATCACATCAACAGAATGTTAAGCCAAGTGCCAGGCAACTAGGTCTTATATTACAGTGTTTACTTTTACAATATATTAATAAAGACATTCATGAACAAGATAGAAGAGGTAATATTAAGCCTCTTTAAATATTTTCAAGATGGTCTAAGTTTAGGTTTAGTTTAACTGATATAATTCATAGAATCTACAGACTAGAAGTAGTATAGAAAAGGGGTGACTTGTGGATATGAAACGAGACTGGTGATGACTATTAGGCCACGCATAGTGAAAAGAAATCCTAACTAACCCGTCGCTACCTAAGTAAGAGATGAGTGTAGCTAGATCCAGGAGCTATATACTACTTAAGAGAGGCTACCGAATTGAATAGATCAATTCATAACAGGGTGAGTTAGACTAGAGGGGTATTATACGCCTAATCTAGAAATATATCCTACAGTGATAGGTATGACTCACATATATTTAGGCTGCCTAATATCTTCTAGAGAATAGTTTTCTCACATAATATTTCTTTACTATCACTTAATATATATATCTCTAAAAAGTAATATTATCATATATATTTTTAAAAATATAACACTTTTTAAATAACTAATTTTAATATCTTATTTAATTTTGAATTTAATCATTTCTTACTATATGATTATATAAGTCGGTCTAATTCTATATAAGTTTAAGTTTATATTTGATAAACGAGCACTATTACCTAGTTTACGACTATTTACCTTAGTACTTAAGTAGTAATGTTATCTTTAATTCGGGGCCCCTAATTAAGGGTGGTAGTTTGTTCCGAGAAGGATTATCATTCAGCTTACGTCTACACATGTGGCTGTTCCCATAAGCTGATGGGACAGATGAGATTGGTGCTTTCGAGGATCAAGTTGGATGCCTCCGAATTTAGTAGGTGATAAAGTGATGGGACCCCACCTCTTTCCCCCTCACTTGCTCTTTACCAGAAGCGCATCAAGACTTACTACTTGCCCCCTTCCTATCTATAATATAGTTTCACGCTCACAGTTTATCATCAGTATGAATTATCATTCCGAAGATGAGGATATTGACATTCGTGTCGAACGTCGCCGGTCGTCGCCCGTGCATTATGTAGACGTTCCCTCATACCAACAGCGGCGTCCCCGACACTATTACCCAGGCACACACTCACCTACTTATCTCGAACCAGAACGTACTACGGTTATCACGAGGAGATCTGTTTCTCGCGAGCGCTCCCGTGAGCGGGTCTCGTCCCCCGGCAGCCCACGGTACCGGTTGTCATTAACAACCGCATATATAATGAGTACTCATCGGATGACGATGAATCCCATCATCATCTTCAACTGTCGCGCCCTCGGCGACGATCTCGATCCCGCTCACGATCTCGGACAGGGTTGATGACAAGGGAAGAATTTGAAATGGAGAGGGCTAGGCGAGAACTTCAGAATTTAAAGCTCGCGACTGAGTACGAAGAGCGGGAGAGGCGGGCAGCGAAAGAAATTGAAGAAGAAGCAAATTTACGTCGCGCGAAAGAAGAGCTTGATGGAATCAAGCGCCGCCAAGCTAAAGCAGAAGAAGAAGCAAGGATTAAGAAAGAACTTGAGCTCAAGCGCCTTCAAGATGAAGAGCGTGAAGCTGAGGAGCAGAAGCGCAGGAGAAAATCAGCTGCGGAAGCTGTAGAGCTCTATAAAAAAGGAAATGGAGCGCATTCATAGGGAAAAGGAAGAGCACGTTAAAAGGGAGAAGGAATATCAAAGCCGCTTACAGGAACAGCTCCTTCAATCTGGACTTGACGAGCAGCAAATCACTGCAATTCTTCGGAAGGAAAAAGTACCAGAATCGAAGCCGGAAAAGCAAAACGCAAAATACACACGAATGGCTAGGAAGCATTTATCGATTGAAACGCTGCGAACTTTTGAGGTGGAATACATGGTCGATGAACGTGTACGTCTCTTCCCAAGAACTTTATCTCTAGAGACGCCATGCTTATCACTAATTCATTATGAACAGGACGCGAATTATGTCATTATTAAACGATGGGTTCCGGAATGGGAACAAGATGCTCTTTGGAACCATACAAAGCTCGTGCGTGAGAAGCGATCTAAACTAATCCTCTCTGTTGATGATAAGAAGCACCATCGCCATCGAGACACAGAGTTCGAATGGGTTCGGAAGAAGAGTGATCGAAAGAGAAGCAAGTCACCGGCTCTTTTGATGTACCTTGCTGGCGCTCGGCCCGCTTGACAATCTCGACTTTGGCCTTTTTATTTTGGCCTTTTATTTTTTATTTTTAGGGGCCTCGCGAGAATAATTCTGCATAAACGAGGAATGAGAGATAAATGAGAAGTTTTTGCTTTTATTCTTGCTCTTGTTCTTGTCAAGTTAGCGAAAGGGATTTTTATTACGATGGATATCTGGAGGAATTGGGGCTGGCCCTGCGCACCAGCCTGGAAAGCTTGAATCTATTGCCAGCGAACACGAATCAACTCTTCATATAGTGTCCATGCTAATGCGGAACTGAGCGCCTTTCTCGCCATTCGAAGCCCTAGGCCATCAAACAGTGATCGAAATCCTTCACCAACGACCATCTTTCTCAGTGCTTGCGCCATATTGGTATAATCTCCTGGTTGCAGTTGAATTCTAGTTTTGATAGCGTCAAAAGGATTGGATATTATGGAGCATATACTTCCCGCCAAAAGCGCAGATGAAAAATTAACAATGGCGCCCCCTTAGTCCCCGTAAATGCTAACTGTTCCGAGGGACTTCTCGGAACATCGAAGCCTGGCTCAGCCTCTTTTGAGACTTTCGTAGAAAAGGACGTACATTCCTGCATACGGGCCATCTCGAATCGCAGTTGGACCAAAGCCAGAAAAGAACCCACGGAAGCCACCAGACGTGTAAATATCACGGGCCGCGCCACCGATAGTTTTGTATGAATACATGTTCGACTCGAAGCGAACCTTGATTACGGTCAAGGGCATCAGTACCAGACCGGCTAGAACCCTGGCAGTAGCGCCCGTGAAGAGGTTCGCAGTATTTGAGAGCGCAGGTAGATGCGATGTACGAAGATCGCATGCCGCGTTGTCGCGAAAACGGGCGAATCGTAGGGCGTTTTGGCGCAGAGTATTGAGAAGCATGAAGTACAGGGCCGAACCAAATCCCGTGCGAAGGGCCGAGGAGTAGTACCTCGCCACAGAGCCCAGATGTTGTGCTTGCCATGGTGAGATCTGAGTGTAGCCTTGAAGCTAGACCCAATAGATGGCCTGTCAGGTTGTTGGACACGAGTTTTGATCAAGTCTAATGGTTGGAGAATCACCGCTGATCCTATGCCGGAGGCTAGCCCGGAGACGAAGTGTTTCCCCTTTGCTATTCACGATGTTAGAGATAGAGGTTCGGATGTTGCGAGGAATAAGTACTGATGGCTTACACGACTTGGGGGAGAAAGACGTTCAACTTGTGGGGCATGAACAGCCCCCATCTTAGATACCTCAACCTTCGGAGGTCAAGCGATACCAGAAACTGCTTCAATGAGATGAAGGGTAGAGGAAAATGCACCTATTTTCGATGGATAGTTGTGACCTTTTAGATGGATCAGTCACTCCGTGGCAAGCGTAGGGGCAATCCCTGGGCTGAGCCGTCGCATGACATACCTCTCGAAGGTCCTTGTTGTTCCGGCAATACCCGTATAACGATGTGGGGCTAAATTGAATCGCTTAAAATGATATCCTTGTCAAGATCTCATCCACTGCCAAGGCACCAAGGTAAAGGCCTAGGTAATTCAAGTGACCAAACTAAGACCACGCCTCTAGCCAACATGCAATGTTTGATAAAGGGGAGAATCTATATCCTCGATTACTTCTCATCGAACGCCCGCTTTATAATCACCGAGGGCTGATTCAAGGCGGGTGCTTAATAAACGGTGACGCTTTGCGACTTCCGCCCACTCTTGCTCTTCTGCCTGGGAGGCAGCCTTCGACCTTAGACCGAAGATGACATTACTGAAATCACACCCGAGCCTTCCAAGGCTCCCAGCACAATATAGAACTTGAGTTAAAATGCTGTCGCGTGAACTAGTGTCACTGACTCCGACGAGATAGGTACTAAGCGTTTTTACAAGCTCGCTGACAAGGTAAACAAGCAAGGTCGCTAAACCATGGGGTAGTTGCTCAAGAGGATCGCCGGACCCCGAATTCTGGTGAATAAACATGCTCTTAAAGATGGACGCCATGGCAAATGTGTGTTCCCTAAAGATTTCGATATATCGCTTAAGATATCTTTCCGCGTGTTGGCCCCTGACCACTGCCCGACGCCTCGGGGAGCATTTGAGACATCCTCCTCGGCGAGTAGGCGTAGAGGCTCGAGTGCATTCAAAGTTGAATCAAGGGTAGAGATTCGACGAAGGATGAAAAGAGTTCCTAAGATCTGTTCATGTACGCTTTGGAAAGTATGAGTCATGATATCTGGTAAAAGACGCCGTATGAGACTAGAAGTACGCATGGTGGGGGCCAGTTTCCCCTGTGACGAGCCAAGTGATATGACGAGGTCTGATGCTAGCTGTAACACGAGCGAGCTTGTTCGTTGGACTACAGAACCTATCAACGGCGAGTTTGGGTAGAGGTTATACAGTCGATGTATGTGAGAATTTAGATCCAAGGCGGCTGAATGGCTGAGAGATCCGCTTGTAATGGCGGTTGAGAGAAGTGTTGGGTACTCGATAATGTCGACTAGCCTTTCCATGTTCCGGAGAAGCAGAAGATCCCGCCGCCGTTTGGCGATGATGTGGTGGTCGCTGGATTTGCTATAAACGGCCGAGAAGTGCGTGGTTTCGGAGTCGGCTTTAGGAATGGCAACCCTGAGTCGCATGACACTTTGGCTGAGGCGAGGAGAGACTGTCGTAACTGCGCATGTTGATCAATGGACTTGACTACGGGCACATGTGTTTTCTTGGCAAGTGCCTGGGTTGCCAGGAGTAGGCCATGTGACGACCGCGCCTGCCTTGGGGCTTCGGAAGCCTCAAGTCCTGCAACGGGAAGTTGAACAAGTTGAAGAAGGAAACGGTGCAACTCGGGATTCCGACTGTGTTCCGGCACACCAAGAACTTCGAACAAGGAGTCGCTCATAATCGTTTTGTTTTTATCCCTTCTACCTGGTGAGAATTGGCTCTTAATGAGTATGTGAAAAAGTGTTCTGCGATGGGCCTTGAGGTCAAAGAGATTCGAGAGGGGCAGGGTTAAGGTATCGACTCCAATACGATGGGGCTGTTGTGTATGCTTGACGAGCTCGAAGAAATCTGAAGCGGGGATCAAGTCTCCTCCATCTAAGTTCCCGACGTAAAATTCTATGCGGAGTAGCCTGAAAAGAGAGGCAGGGTCTGAAAGGGTTAAACGCTCCAAAATATCACGAGCTTGAAGACGGCCCTTTATGATAAGGAACAATGAGTGGTTTGCCAGCAACAAGGCCTGACCCTTGCCTGCACGCTTCGAGTTGCTTGGCTTGGTCATGCGAAAAGATTGTGGACATTGGCTTGACTGGCTGATAATAATCAGCTGGACCTTCTGTCATCTGGACCTGTGGCGCTGGCAAAAATGTCAGCAAATCACGCGTCCTCCCCTGCACAGCTCAGGGATTATGTATAATAAGGCTGACCGACCCTCGCCCTCCACAATACACGGATCAATCTGACTTGATCTTCACGTCTAACCGTGAGGGACAAAACAAACTACAGATCACCATGCGCGATCCTTTCATAATTCAACCGATTCCTTGGCTTCAAGATGCCGTCGAGCCTCTCGCTAAACTCTTCTCTCTCCCCTCGCTGCCCTTTCACATCCACGAAGTTCTAGCTGGTGCTCTTTTCTACGGCGCAATCTACTACCCACTCTCACCCGTAATATCACGTTTCTTCTTCTCGCGTCATTATAATGCTCTCTCTCGCCCTAGAAGATTGAACTGGGATGCCCATGTTGTTTCGCTCGTCCAAAGCTGCTTGATTAATGGTCTCGCAATTTGGGTCATGCTTGTGGATGATGAGCGGAGGGCGATGGGATGGCAGGAGCGGGTTTGGGGCTATACCGGTGCTTGCGGAATGGTCCAAGGACTTGCCACCGGGTATTTCCTCTGGGACCTTATCGTCACCTCTCGAAACTTGGACGTTTTTGGTCTTGGTACGCTCGCCCATGCAGTTAGTGCCCTCGCTGTCTATGCCCTTGGATTTGTAAGTTCTTCTAAAAAACATCTGTGGATTATTCTAAGCTGGCCTTGAATAAACCTAGGCATGCTAACCCGCACTTGGCTTTCCCATTATAGCGGCCCTTCGTCAACTTCTATGCTTGCAACTTCATTCTTTGGGAACTTTCTACACCATTTTTGAACATTCACTGGTTTCTAGATAAACTTGGGATGACAGGCTCCGCGATGCAACTTTACAACGGGATTCTCTTGATAACGACCTTCTTCTCATGCCGCCTTGTATATGGGACCTATCAATCCTACCTCGTCTTCAAAGATGTATGGTCAGCAGTCGGTACCCATCCGGACCTGTCGCAACTTGAGGCTCAGGAGGCTGGTGATATAATGAGATTTGCGGTAGAAGGGAGTACCGTGCCCTTGTGGCTTGCAGTGGTGTATCTTGCTAGTAACACGACGCTAAACAGCTTGAACTGCTACTGGTTCTACAAGATGATCCAGGCACTCTCTAAGCGTTTCCAGACCACCGAGACCGGTCTGCCCGAAGAAAAGGCACGAGGGAAATCCTCCGGTTTTATTACTGCGCTGGAGCCTCGGAAGCGTAATGCCGTAGCCTTAGGGCCCAGTACTGAGCTGGACGTCGTCATTTAGATGACTTGGAGGTTTCGGAAAGCAGTGCAACGGACCTTTATTAAAACCTTGCATCATTACCTAGTAACCTTAGTAGGAAATATTCATGTCAGGGGCTCCTGCTCTGCTGGGAAGCTTAAATACACCCTTTATTCCAATATCAATTAATTTAAACAAAAAAAAGGTTGCGATAGCATGTGAAGTGAGAGTAATCGTTGAAGAGGATCAAAAACCATCATTGCCCATCACTTTACCTGCCACCATCTATCCTTCCTTTCCAACATCTGCTCACTACATAGGCTCATGCAAACGGCATGATCAAAACCCGAATGGGTTATCAGGCGCTGCTTTTAGTCAGTTCATGATACATTGAACTCCGATCCTTCTTTATTCGACTTACTTGCTTGAGCGAGGTTTGCACGACGTCCGGTGGGTTGGGGTGTTAAGCGTGGCGCAGTTGCTTGGACCCCAAAGCGAACGGGCGGCGGTGGGCCGGTCTGCTGTGGGATTAACGGGGCAGTCGGCATGAGAGACATTGGTGCCTGAGAAGCATTGGTTCTTTGAGGCTCTAGGGGTTGAGGAAGAATGCCGTTCAGCCCACCGCCGGGTCCCTGATTAAGTTGCTGGTGTGGCTGATATGCAGCACCGAGGTTGCTGGGTTGAGGTGGAATACCTCCAAAGGTTCCAGGGGTTGGCAGCGCGGTTGGAATAAACGGTTGTGCTATCGAACCTGGAAGTCCGGTGGGTAATATGCTAGGCATAGGGCCTTGCGTGTTATAAGGCACGAATTGGGTGGCTTGGACGTGCCTGAGATACTGTTCATGGAGGCGTGCTTGGTCTATCTCGCTGAGGCTTTGACCCGGTGGTGCTACTTGGCCTTGGAGAGAAGGGTGAACGGATCCTGTCAATTGGGGAAGTATGGGGGAAGATTGAAGGCGCTTGGCTGGGCGCTTTGTGGCGCAGAGAGTGGCCGGGATGGAGGAGGGGGAGGGGGCAAGGGAACCCTGGCTGCTAGGCAGATGCGGAACTACTGGCCGTTGGCGTAAGAGGCTAGGCTGCGCTTCTGGAGGTACATTTATATTGCCAAAAAGGCAGGGCTGGCCCCCAGTTGCTGTGCAGGTGGTGAAAGAGGGGTGCTGCAGCAGAGGTTTCTGCTGGCAACGTCGTCGTTTGGGTTAGGCCCGGCTTCAACGGGAGCGTTAAGAGGGATAACTCCTGGAAAGACCCAGTCACTGTCTCGGAATTAGCTGTCGTGGGTTGAGTGCTGATCGTCTCTGAGACGGCTCCTGGCACGGTCCCCAGTCCACCCAACGATCCATTTTGCCGACTTGGCTTTACATCCCATGCATCATCGTCAAAACCCTCAAGTGCAGCCTTTGTCGGTGGGCGATCGTAGCTTGGTTTTGGGGCCGTGGAGCCTGTTACCTTCTCCTCCACAAGTAACTCTTTGCCAGCCTTCGATAATGCGGTTGCGTCGATAACATTGTCAGTCTGCATGGCGGGGGCGGGCCGGCCTTTTCTCGTATTGTTCCGTAGTGTACCGCCGGGGCCAGAAAAGAGCCCGCTTTGTCCATGTACGTCGGCATCGGCAAGATCCTTGCCAAGTTTGCCCGCTCTCCCAAATTTCGCATCAATGGCCCTCATTACCTTAATGATATCACCTTCGCGTAGACCTAAAGTTCGTAAAACCGTTGAGTCCACCCCTGATAGCACAGTTTCATCCATAGATTCTTTAGCGAAAGCCTGAGCATATCGTTCACATAGGCCCACGTTCACATCACAGTCTAAGAAAAACTGAAACCAATCAAACCCCGCTGCGCGGGGCTCAACTGTGGCTCCAACTTTGGCGCTTGCGATCTTGCCACTCTCCAAGCCAGGTCTCACATTACGAGAACCGAGGCCATCGCGCCGCAATGGGCTGCCGGTTACACGCTCAACGTACTCGATGTCTTCGTGCGACATTTTTTCAACTGGCACAGCAATCTTGACACCGTTAACCTTGTGTAGGTTGATCTTACCGTCCTTAATTCCAAGAAACTGAGCTTCAACACTGAACGATTTTGATCGATCGGTCCATGTTCGTAATTTGGAGGAGTCAGGTTCTTCAAGCTATTGTGTTAGCTATATTTCTTTTGGATGTCTGGGGAATCGTATGGGAGACCTACTTGATTTAGATGTCTTTTGTTGAGGGCTGGCACTGTCTTTGCTCGACTCGCTTTTGTTCCTCTGTTTAGAAGGATTACCATGATGTTCCTTGACTTGAAGGCTACTACCCCGTTCGGGCAGAGGCATCATCAGCCCTACCTGCGGCAATGGCTCCCCGAGTGGTATCTCACCGCCTGTTTGGTAAGTCTGATCTCTTCTTGCCTATTTTGTTCTACAGTCGACCTTCCTAGAGCAATACTAGGGGACTGAGATTGGCTGGTTGCAAATCCGGTTGTTTCAATATAACTGCTTGGCACGACTCCTTCCTTGCCAGTGTTCACATTTCGCACCTGCCACCATTCATCACTTTTGGTATCGTCGAGAATAATGACGTCGTCGCCCGCATCAACAGTCACTTCATCATCCCCTTGGGCGACGAAGTCGTAGAGTACCTGGCCCGATTTCCGAGAATTTCCTGTAGGCGATAGGAGCGCAACAGGTAGATCATCTGCTCTCACGGCCGCTGCAAGCTCGCCGAGAGCTGCGACAATTTCCTCGGCTGTATCCTTAGCTCCGGCATGGAAATCAATACTTTTACTTGGCCGGACTAGCTCCAAGAAAACGTGTTTGCCCTCCCTAGAATAGTGAGTCATCTTATTCCCGGGCCATTCCTGGGATGGTCCATTTTTGACATGTTCAGGTGCAATCAAGACTGTTTTTGCCCTGATATTGATTCCAAGAGTTGTTGGCATTTTCTTTCGTTTTCCCATCACGGAAACCATCTCATTGACATTATACATGTGGAAACCACCAGGTGCGCGCTGCGAGGTAGAATGCTCTATGTCATCCGAGAGGTGGTGGGTAGGAGAGGTGGGAGGAAGGTGGTCCGCCGGTTTGCGGGGTTTAATGGCGTCTTTGGAATCAGGACGTAATGGTAAAATGGGACTTTTGTACTTTCCAGAGAAGACCGCATCGGTAGTTGTGGGGTGGTGTTGGGGATCGAGACTCAGAAGATCGTGACTGAATTACACTTGCTCGGCCTGTTGCTGAATCGCTCTTCAGTGAAGCTACGCCATGAGGGACAGAGCTGGGGGAAGCTGGTTCTTGAATCGAAGGAGCCGCCGGCCTCGTGGGCAGTGACGGTGGAGTGGGCGTTGTAGATCGAGCATCGTCTTCAGGGCCGCCATCAAGCTCGATGTAGTTTGCTGGAGCAAACCCAAAATCATCCTCCAGTCCAACTAAAATCCAGTCAGGATCCGAGGTGTCAAACACGGCAAGGAGTGTATCCTCCGGGAAGGAAAGCTCTTCATCGGTTTGTCGCGTGTATTCGTACATTGAGCGGGCGTGTGCAATCGCTTGCATCTAGCAAAGCAGTTAGCAAGAGACCTCGCGAGAGTGACGTGAGTTAATTACCCGTTCAACGTAATTGCTAGGAACAAGGCCCACCGGTTCCTCATCCTCCTCTGGAGCGGCCTTTTCTTCGCTTTCCACCAGTCATCATCTTCACTTTTCTCCAAAATGTATAGTAAATCGCCTTCGTTGATAGCGAGCTCCCCTTCGCCCTGTGGCGCATAGTCGTAGAGCGCTCGGTATATCCCCAAAAACCCCATCTTCCTATAGATTAGTGGGAGGAAATTAGGGAGGATGTGTTAGGTTGATTGCTTGAGAGTTCAAATGGGACTAGAAATCGAAGCAGAGAAGAGCGCAGGAGTGATCGCAGTGGAGACTCAAAGACGGTGAAGGGTCCGCAGGAGTACGGATATGGATAAGTCAGTGGGATTGGGGTGTTCGGAGCGTTCTCCAGGGGTTGTCGGGGAGCGTAGGTCGCTCTCGACAGGATATGAGAGAGCCGAGAATCAAGGGAGCGTCGTGCTCTTTGCGGGGAGTTTAGCCACTCTAAAGATGAGCGACGAGGTTCTGGCCTACACCGTGTGACAAATATATCGACACATATGATTTTACGTCCTGTTGGGCACAAATTTGCGCGTTTAAGAGAATGACGTCTCGACTAGTAGTTGCTTTACCATGTGGAGGTGGCAGAGATAAATAAGTCAAAGCTGTGGGGTCTGGTCAATACAAGTAGATTGGGTTCACCTCTTCTTCAAGCAGGTTCGTTAATGGTTCGGATTATGTAAATAAATAACGGTTACACGAATATTTCCATGAAGGCTTGGCGGAGTTGAGCCGGAAAAAACCACTGGTGTGAATGATAATGAGAGTATAGCTAATAATGAGAAGAGCATGGTTTCACAACACTCTTAAAATTCTCTGTTGCCGACATGTTTAGTGCGTCTATCTAGTCTAGTATAACTTAGAAGTTTTGTGCGAGTGCGCGGACAAAGGGAAAATACAATTGGAGTCCTTAGAACAGCCCTCAGGTGTGCGAATAGTTTGAGTCCTCCCCTAGTCTTGAGCTATTGCTCCTCTGTCGCCTACTCACCACCCCAGGAAATATTTTTGGCTCGCTCCCTGAGAGTCGATCTGATGATCGGCTAGGATCGATGACCTGCTGAGGCTGAGGGCTGTGGGGAGAATCAACCCCGGGGCTTGACTGCCTATACCCACGGGCGAGACAGTAGTCCCACCACCCGCCGCCTTATTCTTCTCTGAAATAAGTAGACTCTTATGCGGGGTGCTGCTGCATTGGTTTCCATCGGTGATGCGAACACAGCAGGAAAGCTGCTCTCTGGCAGGTCGTCATACTTTCCCTGCAATATGTCGACGTAGACTAGTTAATGTGAGCATGTTTCTGACAACTACAGGTCTTCGAAGAGACAACTACAGGTCTTCGAAGAGACAACTTACAGCTCTTTTTCTTCCAAAAGAATACGGTGGCGAAACCGTTCTCGCCTGTCGGGCACGTTAGTTTTGTCCATCTTGTTGCCATCTGGCCCCTGTTTTAGGTAATCCGGCCCGAGCCACTGCTGTTTGATTGAATCTTCGTAGCCACTCTGCTTTACGGAATTCTTCGCTAGTTCGCACATATCCACCGAGCTGAGTTTGTATATCTGAGCAGCGACGGCGTACTCCTCAATCAGAGGCTCTTTCGTAAAGGCGAATTGGAGAGGATCGTCGGTGGAAAGCGATACATTGAGCCCCCTCTTGAAGTATTGATTAAAGGGATTCCGTTCATACGTCAAAAGAGCGCGTTGTTACTTAGTGGTGACATTGCAATCCCTATTTGCTCAAGATAGAAGATATATTGAAGCAGAGGTACCTTTCGAAGCAATAAACCGTGGCTGATACTGTGGCAACATAGCGCAGCAACGGCCAGATGTTCGCTATCACCAGCTTCGCCACAATGCGGCCGCAGCACAAAAGTGTTAAAGCCTCGTCGCTTGCGCCAGTGGTTGAGAGACACCATGTTGGCGTAAAGGTAGTATATCCAGTAGCTGTATGGCGGGTTCTGATTATAGTCCCAAGACTTGGGGACGGGAAACTTTTTAAACAGACGCCTTTCTATCTTGCTTTCATCATCGACAGAATCGAAGCCGATCACACGTTGCAGGAACACATGTAGCTTCGGGTGGGTGGTCGGGTCTTTCGTTACCTCAAAAAGTGGTTGAAAAAGATTGGTGATCGTTTGTTCGAATGATTCCATCAAGCCAGTTGCTTTATAAACATCGAAGAGTCGGGGTATCTGTATCAGCCAACGTACGTTATGTGAAAATAACTTATTATCCACTACCCAGGCGGCAAGCTTATCCCACTCATCAATGGCCTTCCCGTAAACGGATATGCGCCACTCTACCATCTGGTATTTGCTTGATTCGAGATCGGAAATGACCTCTTTCGTGATCTCGGCAAGGTAGCGACCATTTATGAAATTGTCTGTCTTGAGAAATATCGTCCGCAGCCGAGACTCCCCAATAGGATTATATTTTAAATTGAACTTGTCAAATCGATGGAATGAATCTTTGTGCGCCTGCATGTCGGGAGAGCGATAGAAGTTAGACAGACTGGAGACACGGCCACAAAAGTCTTGTAGCGAAGAGGGTTAAACTTACATGCATGTCCAAAGTGTCGATACTGAGGTCGTATGCTGTGAGGTTGATGCTATCAAAAACTTCTGCTAGGGTGAGGTGACGCCCATCGCGGAAGAGAACAACCTCATCAGGACATTTCTTCATCTTGCTTTTGATGAAGCGAAGTAGATGTTTTTGGTTCATACAGGCTGAGTGGTGAACATGGGTGTCGACTTTACGCACATTGTAAAAATCTCGATGGGGTACTCGTTTGCTATCCGCAGTCTCCTGGTATTCATTTAGTAGCACGTACATACTAAATTGGCCCTCCAGGTACTGGAGTCGCCGGAACGCGAAGCTTTTACTAGGCCCATCAGCCGAAATGTTCAAGATCTCATCAAGGTCCATGTAGAACTCGCGTATAGTGGGGACTTGTACCAAAGGCCGTGGATGACCCCGCTCCGAGGGGTCCCAGACCTGGTAAACGCCATTATCATCGAGCCGAAAAGCTAAATCACAGGGACCAGGAAGTGGGAAGATGTCGTCCAGATCGAAGTCCTCTCCAACATCATGGCCAGGTTTGCGTCTTCTTGATGGCTTTGATTTTCCGGCTTTGTTTGGACCACCTTTACCGGATCAGGTGTCCGGATTCAGATGCCAGCACCATACTATTACTAAGACTGCCTGGAGCACTTCCAAGGGTAGTATCAGGTTCTTGAATCCAAGCTGGTTCTGGAGGGGGGTATACGACCCAATCCAGCGAGTCTTTAGGATTGTCCGAGGGGCCTTGCAACGACAGGTGAATGTATTTGTTGCGTAGAGCTATCAACTTATGAATGTTTGATGAAATTGTGCTCAGTTCTGATAGCATATGGTGGTCGACATCCGGGATTTCTGAAATGCTGGCACTGCCCTGCTGAATATTGTTATCAGGTGGTGGCACAGCAGTTTCCAAGGACCGATCTGTCTGGGCAAGCTGCTCAAGCCGAAAATCTTTCTCTCGTGTACTCTCGGCAATCGTGAAGGTACCAGGGGTAAGTTGGGGGCACAGTTAGGTAGAGGGGGATTCCTGACATCCATGCCCCGAGAATTGGATAGTTTGTCTTTAGTGAAAGAACAACCCGCGAGGTCTAGTTTTGTTGGTGCATATCCCGGCTCTGGTACATCCAAAGCCGGCTGTGGAAGTTCTAGAGAGGATGCCATTTCACCCTGGCTCTCAACGGCCGAGAGTGAATGCGGATGCTGCCATGTCAGGGACCCAGACTTAGAGTGATTCTCCGACAGACTCATTTGATAGAACAATTTAGCATCTGTGAGCCCTAGTTGGCGTTCGGCCACTGGGTCATAGAAGGTGCTCCGTTTTGGGAGGTCGCGTGGCAACATGCCCTCACATAGGCCTAGAGCATCGGGGCTATCGGAGAGTGAAGACCCAACGGGAGGGAATTCGTGGTTTGCATGATCTGATTCCGAGTCGCTTCGGTCCATGGTCCTACGGGATGAAGTCAGCACTCAATTTCCCCTCTAGACGAAGGCGTATTCTTCGTAAGAGATGCCACTCGCCCCTATACGTCGGCTAAGGCGTCGCGAACCCTTCCTCAATATTCACGAGAGGCTCCTGTTAGGAGTGGAGGGAGAGGTGTGACGAGACTGAAACATAAAGTCGGTGAGACTCACGGAAGGCGGCGCAGTTAGAAGACACATGCACAAAGGTATATAAGGGAGAGTTTCAAGTTTTCTATCGAAACTAGCTCATATGGAGGGTTCGGTGAACTGGGGAAAGAAGTGAGCACTTATTGGGGGTTAGAGGGGAGGAAAAGGCCGAATATATATAGGTGATAGATAAGATTTGTTTGATCAATGGTTTGGAGGTTGGTCATGTCGGTCAAGTTTGAGTGTACATGTATATGTAATCACCGCATATTACACTCGATATTTCTCAGCCTGAGACGGATAACCTGCACTAAATTTAACGACCAGGAGAATACAATTGATCCATTGTAAATAAGCCGACAGAGACTACTCTACGATCAATTGACCCATTGTAAGCGAAGTCGCAAACCCCTGACAGCCTAGCAACGCAGTATCATATTCCCCTCCGCTCGCCACTCATACGGGCATCCGCTGGGTCTTCTAAGCCCGTCAATTAGTCTTCCCTTTGTTTCTTTACAAGAAGCTTATTCTGCCCCTTGAGAGGAGGTGGCTTGGATTTGGAATCGAGCGAGTACATCGCTCCTGCGCCGAAGACGATGATGGCTCCAACCAAGGTGCCAGGGGCTAAGCGATTCCCAAATAGCCAAATGCTTAGAAGGAGACTAGCCAGCTTCCGTATATTCAAAACAATTGTCACTGTTAGGGCTGTTGAAACTGCTGCGAGAAGATTCACACCACGTATGCAAGCATACTGTGTAAGCACATTTGCCACTAGGTATACGAGCTGGCTCGGAATGCCAACAAATATAAATGAGGGGAACCTGAACCGTTCGCCAAAGTCCCAGGAAGTCGTGCTAGGCTTCGTCCACATTAATGGAGGGCTTTGGGCTAGCTTCTTAAATTGCTCTAAGAGCGAATGTGAGAAGGGAAGGAAAAGGGGTAGGGAAAGTAAATGGCAGTAAAACAGGTTCTCCCTCCATTGTGGCCCATAAATTCTATATGTCTCTTCAGTATATAAGCCCATGATGGCTGACAGAACTTGGGCAGCCAGCAATATTATGAATCCGGTACTGAAAGCCGGTCGCGTAGGGTTGGGCGATGCCGCAGAATGGCTCTGCAGACAGAGTGTTAGCGCTAAGAAATTGAGGGGGTGGGTTGTAGTATCTGACTTTAGATTGGGAGTCAAACCAGGCTGCTGTTACGACGCCGGACGTTAGAAGAATAACCGACACGACCTGGACCCGAGAATACTTCTTTCCAGAGAGATAGCCTGCGATTATTGTCGTCACACTACCCCCAGAGCGGAGTATAATATGCACAGGAACTGATATATCGTAACTAAAAGCGTGGTTGTTGAGTACATTGATGCTGAAAAAAGTACGATATTGACCAGCCAACGACGCAGAGGCACTTGGTTTTTCCGTATGAAGAGTGGCGGTCTGGCTATATCGAATTGGGATACATAGCCCGTTATAGCCACGAACAAGAACTGAACGAATGTGAGGAGAGTCCCTTCGCGCCGATATTAGCATTGTCAACAGAATCATGACCGTAGTTTGAAGCTCACCACTAGCCGGCTCTACTCTAGAACCAGACAAAGATTAGCGAGACTCTAAAACCATGCAACCGCCAAAATAAACAACGCACTGAATTATCGATTCTAGAGCGTACACCTTGCAAGCCGTTAGTTGGAAAATGCATATTATTCATCCATGCAATATTAGGTTAGGGGCTTACATTCGAACAACAACCCCCGAAGATAAGGCTTAGCATCGCAGAGATTGCGAGCCATTGTGAGAACACGCTCAGGGCCACATTGCGCGAGTCCTGTTGGGTAATTGGTTTTGCTGGATTCCCCTTGCCGATAAAATCCCGGTTCCGTGCAGAGGGTGAGGAGCCCATCGTATCGAGGACCGTTACCCTTTGCAGGATTGATATCTCAAGTGAGCAAGGTGTGTGTTAAGGATAAGCCACGATGGCATGCCTAGGCTTTTGACATACTACCTGAAACAACCCGCCATGCAAACGCGGCAGCATTACATAAACTTTGGGAATTTGGTAAAATATTATTACTGTGGTTCTAAAAATAGACTAGACATAACTAGCTGCTTCAGGGTTGCCGTCGCACGCATCAGGATGTTGTGTCACCAAGGTGAGAGCAAATAGTGCAAATTTCTTATTGTGACCCAGAATGAACGAGGAGTTATGGCCATACGAGTACTTTATGGTTTATATGCCCAATTTGGGTTTCGCTATGCTCGTCTGATTAACTATCCGTAACTTCGCGCGCAAAGTTGCATTTGTTGCGTGGCCCTCAGTTCGTAGTGACTGAGGACAAGAACTACGGAAGGCTCGAGCAGCGTCCATGGGAGTCCTCAACCCATCAAAATCTCGCTTTCTCAATGGCGAGTTTCGTTAAATGGCCTACTGAGGTTGTTGAAAAACAATGCTTGTGCTATTTTCGCGATGTTTGCTAGGAATTATAAGCTTGCGGGCTTGTGGCTATAGCAATTTCAGGGCTGCAAGGCGTGGTTTGACAGGAACATGTGGCTGACGATCCTGTGTGTCCCCTGGCTGTTTTCAAGCTTATAGACAGGTAGGAATTTTAAAGGGCGGAGAAAACGAACAGCTGCAAACACATTAGCTTGACACGAGACAATTCAGCGCAACCACGCCTGTACTCACATTATTCGTCGCTGCAATAGCAATGCTATCCTCAAAAGGGTGCCAACTCATGTGAAGTATCTTCTTGTTGAAATCGATTTGGTCAGCATCTGTTTCCTTTCGCATCCTTTGCCCAGGGCCGGCGCCTGGGCTGCCTGCTCGAGACCCGTCTTTCTTGCCATTTGCAGCGGATGGGCTTGTCGAAGAATTGATGGGAGTCGGAACTCCAACTTTTTAGCCTTGAAGGCAGACTTATCAGCTTGAGAACCACTTCAACCTCCTTGTCGGGGTCGGATGGGTATATCATGAAGTTATTGTTGTAGCTCCCAGTCATGACATTCTTGGCGTCGCCTGAGAATACGACTTCAAACTTGTCGAAGATGCTGTCGTTCTCGTAAGTGTCACAAAGTCGAGGCCTCAAATGTTCATGGATGGGTATTGTCTTCACGGGTTGCCTTTCCATGTTGATGTCCCAAATTTTCACCGTCAAATAGTCCCGAGAGAGAATATATCGGCCGTCATACGAGAAACGGACATCAGAGATGGATGAGATGATCTCTGAGAAAAACGATCGCGATGATGGGTCCTCTTCTTGCTCAAACACTAAAATTACGGTCAGCCAGAACGAACGATACGAAGCGCGGTGCTTGAATAGTTGGAAGATATACATTTAGCGTGTTGATCGCAAAGTGCACTCTCTCTCATATCCGCTAATTTGATTGTGCCTTTCGAGCTCGCATACATAAACCAGTTACAGCTCAAAGGATGAAATTCAGCGGCCGTAATAACTTCGGTAAGCTCTTCCATGTTAGCAGGCTTGATGTCAACAATATTAAAACTTTGATCCTGTATGTTGAGATTCCAGAGGTTTATGCGAAGATCATCACTGCTGATGAATGTTTCTCCATCGCTATTCACAGAGATGCTATTGATATGATACGCATGTGCATTGGCGTAAGTGCGGCGTGGCACAGCGGCAACAACAGTGTCGTGGTGGGTTAAGCGAGGCAGCTTCAGATCAGTCGGGTTTCGAAATTGCTGATAGTTCAAAGGCCGTGAGAGGTTGGTTCCACCTCCCGGGAGGTGGCCGGGGGTAAGATCCTGTGAGAGATTGTTTTCCGCTACCACCTTGAGAGACTTTTCAAACACCTTCCATAACTTGATGGTCTTGTCGTTGGTTGAGAGAAGGTAATGCGAAGCATTTTGCCTTCGGCACCACTTGATCTTGTTGATTTTCTCCTCTATCTCCAGAGATTTCAAATAATCGAATTCGGGCTCATGAGACTGAAACTCTGTGTGGAATTTGTACTCGCATGTTTTCTTCTATTGGAAGCTTAGCTGGAGAACAGATCTAGAAAGACATGCGCTCGCTTACCGTCTCATTTCTCTCAAAAGGACAACGCGCCCACCTTTGTCTCCAGTCGCTAGATAGTTGCCAGTATGGTCAAACTCAACTGTCGATATGATATCAGCTGTCGGCGGTGAGATTTACTGTTAGCTGGGCCCCATCAAGGTGTTTTGAGATGGATGGCTACAAAGAAGCCAAGATGAGAAGAGAAGCTTGACTCGCCTTCGGTGATGTCTTCAACATCACCTTTGTCACCGAAGCATCTACATCACCATTCATTTAGTGGTAGCTCCAGAAAGGAAACAAGACTAGAAAAGTAGTCATAACACACTGGGTAAATTTCCACGTGGGAGAGTTAGAATCGCTCTCTCCCATCTTCTACCAAATGCTATGTCGCTGAAACGGAAAAGACGAGGGGGACCCGTCAAGATAAGAGTATCGACAAGGCGGTCGGTCTCCTGCCAAGATCAATTTCCTGGACGAGTTGGATTTTCGCGACCAACCCAAAGTGAGCTCAGGCAGGCACAGGGCAGGAGGTGGGGTAGGTGTCTTGAGGAGATAGTCAGCGCACAAGGACAACCCGGAGAGCCAGGTCTAATGAGTCGTAGCTAAAGGGTAAAATAAACACTGAGAGCCGCATCCGCAAGCTGTATAAACTGCGTGGTGTTGGGTGGTGTTCCGATCGTTGATTATGTCACAGAGACGAGGGCGGTAATGTTCAGAACTGAGGCAGGGCGAGAAGACTTGCCCCCATTGTCTCTTCTCCAGTCGATCTCGATCTGGAGTAAAGATGTGTATTAGCTTAACCAGTATTTTCCCGCCAAGATTGAATTATGTACCCCTTTAAGGCAATATAACTTCCTAAACGCAAAAACTGGTAATTGCATGACAATGTGTCAAGTCTACACTATACTTTCGCATCATTAATATTCCTGATCACCCATTTCTCCAGCCGAGGTCAAATTGTCATCCAAAACCCAACGGCACGAATCTGAGGTTTGTGTTGGTCCCAGATGAACCACCCACCCGCGCGGCCCTCATTTCATAACACCAACACGTCCAAACAAGCCCTGTCTAGTTTCGGGCCTCTACATTATTTCCGTTCTTGAATGCTTGGGTGAGAATGAAATCAAGGCTGCCTATTGATCCGCCTCCGTCCTTACAGGATGAAGGGAGCCAATCTTCACGACCAGCAGAGGATGCGGCGCAAGCTACACGTGAAGAAGGTCATGAAGAAAACTCCATGCCCCGACGTCTTTTGAGGTCCGCCACAAACCTCTCCACATCTTTACTTGGCAATATTGGTTCTACGACAGAATTCGAGAATCCCCTAAAGCCTCGACCGCCGGGCCCAGTAGCTCCGTGAAAGAAGGCTTGCCACTCCGGGACTCAGTACCAAGCAGTGCGGCTGCTACGAATCAAAACTACGTGGCTCGAGAAATGGACGGTTCAGAGGTGCCATTTAATAGCTTCTTAGCCCAGGGTACGGACAACAGCGTCTTGGGTATACCAGGGCAAGCGATTTTCACGCCCGCCCCCTGATTGAAAGCACAGTAAAGGAACACGAAACGCTAGATGGCCAAGAAGTTACCAGATTATTATCCAACTCCGATACTCTATGCTTCCCCGATAATGTTGACTTTGGCCTGTCTCTATCTGAAACATCTCGTTTGAAAATTTTATTGTTCGATGATTGCAAGCCGTCCGCCTTCCCCTGGGACCATCTTTTAAACTTTTGGCCTCAGAGGGATACGGTATTAAAGGCCGCGGCAACCCCGAACAGTAGCATGGCCTATGCCGAAGATGAATCTTCGCTATGGTTCGAACAATGGAAAAACGTCTTGACTCGATACAACAGTCAGGTCTGGGGGAGCTTGCTCCGGATGTTGAGAAAGCGAGCGTTGAGGTCGATCTCGCCAAAGGTAGCTCTTCCAGGGAGTATGTCAACCTGGGAGCTCTTCAACGTCTCCAACAGGTCCTTTCCCATTTACGTGGGGTGTGACGGGGAAATGGACGATTCAACATCTTAGAATATTTTAGAGTAAAAGCGATTCGAACTTTGCGGGGCCGGTCAAGCTCCTCGCGGTCATGCTATGACGTCATGGCCCTTTCAGGTGGCGCGCAAAATTACCACGTAACGCGAGAGCGTGTCACTATTTTCCTATCCATCTATCAGTTCGATATGAATGTCTGTGTTGTGTAGTGAAATTTTCAATCGCCTCTCGAGATAGTGCCCCTTTGATCGACGAAGCTCAGGAATCCGCAAATCAGAGGGTGGCGGCTTGGGCGGCTACGGTTGAGCGCTGAAGCCAGAGCTGCGCGCGGGTGTATTGTGTGTTGATGGAGCTGAAGTTTCAAAGCGCAAGGCCCGTCCGTGCTAACGGGCCATTCCTTGTGCTCACATGTGCCACCCCATCCTTCGGTCACAAGCTTCACCAGTCGGCCTCAATATCTCGCCTCGCCTTTTTCTCTCTTTTTGTTAAAAGAGAGAGAGAGAATTACCATTCTAACTCGCAATGCCACGAAGACAGGAGATCCGGTGGCGACTAGGTAGACCTTTGAGGTACTACACACCTTCTTGATAGGTTCATTTTGTCTTCGGCACTACCTCTAACTCTGACCTTTCGATTACATGTAGATTATTGTGGGGAGCTCTTTCGAGCTCTTTCTCCCAAACTCCGCTGCACAATGTTGGCCTTGCGTTATTGAACTGCTTGTCTCCTTCCCGAGGTCGCACGTCAGTTCCCGCCGAAATCAATTTGATCTCAACTCACCTGGCCAGAATCCATTCGGCTCTGCCGCAATTCCAATGAATTTCTGCGACTTCGATGCCTTCACCAAGGTATCTCCGCTCAACATATACCGTGAATTTGCCTGCGCATCGAAGGCCTAACTTGAGATTTGGCTATTGGCAATAGGTTCCTATGCTGCATCAACTCACGTAGTGGACTATGATACGCCCTGACCGCCTCCGCCAGACGATGCAGGGACAAAAGGAGATTGATCAAGCCTCGTGGGTATGCTGCACCTCTAAAGCGGTGATCTCCCCTCGAACACAGGAGCAGTGCATCGAGCCATACGGATGGGGCAGCCAGGACCGAACATATTTCGTCCCTAGTGATAACAGAGTCTATCGTCTTCTAGATAGATCCGCAGCACTGTAATTGCGCGGTGTCGCAGGTCGGCGCAAGGTTTCCCTCCTACGGGAATCAATTCCTTCGAAATGGGAAGGATCTAGCGCTGCAGCGAAGATGCCAAAGGCAGCACCTGAGATCAACAGCACCTGTATCAACGGCGAAAACGGCGAGCTTGACGGCAAAGAAAGGTAATCGTTGGCGGTCATACTTGATGACGTGAGCAAACTTCTGCCTACCCTTGAAAGTAACATAGACAGAAATCGAATGGTCCCGAGTTCTCAAATCAGTACTCATCTTGTGCCAACCCTGGAAAGAGAAGAGGCACTTCCGAAGAGAAAGGCCTTGCGGTGAGAGCGATCTTAGGAAAATTAGCTAATGCAAAGAGGTCGAGCCAAATTGCCCACCAAATCGAACGACAGAAGCGCAAAGCTGAAACTGAAGACAAGGAGCACAGGCAGCTAGAGGATTTGGCTATAGGGTTAGGAGAGGCGGGGATGTGATACAAGCTAGAGCAGGAGGGTGACTCCCGGATACTCGCTCGAGAATGTCGACTGAAGGACCAGGAGACAAGACGGACGCAACATGAAGATCAGAGTTTGCGACTCTCGGGGAGTATGAGCTGGATGCCATCGACGGACGACGAATTTCGGGTCGTTAGATTTGCCGGGAAATGCGAAAGGCCAAGGAAGGCCTGCAATCCTTAGAGGAGATGAGAATCGGGTGCTCGAGTGCGTTTGCGGTCTCTTTGACCAGGTCGATGCTGGGGCACACAGCGTGACGTGAGATGTCTGCGACATTTGGCAACATAGCAATTATGTTGGTATGAGTCAAAGGTAGGTAGATCGGGAAGAATTCCGGTTTGTGTGTGTGTGTCGCGCAAACGCAAGGCTTGCCACGCCTCACCACAATTAGAGGAACCCTTCTCGTCCCACATCCCAACTTTGATGGATACAAATTTAAGTCCAGCCCCAGAGGGCATAGAGTTGATGACAGAGTTCCCGATTCGCTCCCCTCTTCACCGAGAGGAGTCTGACCAGATAACAACCTCCCTGGCACTGCCAATGATCCTATGAACACCCTAACGCCAGGAAATGTTCGAATGACTATTCACACTCCCGCTTGGGCTACGAGCCGAGGGACGGGGAATAGAGTTAGGTCTCTGCTCCTACCAGCCGGCGTTAGCCTCGTCCATTCAACTCCGATACACTAGACACTAAGACTTTAGTTTTCCCACTGCCCCTTCCAAACACCATAAGATACCATAGGCTCAAGCCTAGGCATTCTAGCGGGTATCTCATGCCGAACCTTGCAACTGCACGGAGATCATTTGACTCGGTTCCGCGCAGCCATATAGTTGACTCCGCTTTGCTGCCTCCCCTCTTCTGGGATATCTCCGATCAAGGTTCCTCCTGGCCGTCGCCATCTTCCAACCGCAGGGCTCTCCGCTCGCTTCCTCTTAGTCTTAATCCTGTCGCGCGCGAGTATATCCACACGACCAAACCACTACATTCTTAAACTTCACCAGACTTAGTCACACCCCACTTGAAGCATAGTCTAAGATATCACTGAAGGGACACTATGCGGAGACTATCATACACCAGGTTATCCTACCTTTGACCCCTTAGCCCGTGGCCTTTGTTTTATTCTTCCCGTTGGAATTCTGAAAATAACCTCTATCTGTATCTTGGCCTTCTCTTCCAGCCCATCAGCCACATATATTCCCTTCAGATTTACATCTAAATTTCCTCATCTGGTTACTTATCCTTCTCTTCAGCGTTTCCTGAAGTAATCAGCGAAAGAAACGCTATGAAATTTTTAGTACTACGCCTCTATTAATCCTTGGAAGGTTGGATAGTTTCATCTTACCTCTCTAGGATGTCTAGGATGTCTAGGATAAAAATAACCATGCTCGGTTTTTGAATTCTTGTCGGTGGAATGTTATACGAGGGGCTTCCTTCTAAGGTATGCCACCATTTCATGCTCCCAAAGGAATATATCCTGGAGCCAATAGATTCAAACTACTAGGCATAAGAGGAAGTGACGATTCCAGGAGGCAACTTTTACTTTCAAGTTTGTCAGGCGTCTCTGAAGACCTTAAGCTGTCTAAGTGGTGGCGGTTTGCTGCATGAACCAGTGGGGAATGATTGATTTCTCCCGGTGTCTGAGAGCTAAGAGATATGGATCAGTCTAGAGTCTTCAGGAAATCAGCATATTTCATCACTGGCAGGTCACCTCTACAAGTCTGAGAATATTTCCTCTAAGCTAAGCTACGATCTAGAGGGTATCTATTATAAAACTTCTAGGAATGAACATTACTAGACCACGATATTAGAGGCCTCTTAGAACCTGTATAGGATATGTTAATATCTTCGCCGAAAGGACAGTACCTGTTTGACAAAGGATGACCATAACTACTATCCCTGCTCTCATATATTAGGTAGGCAAGGTGGAGAAATAAGATGCCCTGTATCAGACTGGACGCAAACATGCACGGAACTAGTCTCAAAGGAGGGAGAATATCTCTGGGCTAAGCGGGCCATTCTACTTTATATTACACCTACTTTAGATGTCAGTCTATCATTAGACAGCTAAGGTAGGCTCACCTCTTCATTTCTTTAGACTAACACATAGCAGAAACAGTGGCCCCTATTTACAGAGTCCCAGAGATACCGGCATTCTACTTTCAATATCATCTCCTAGGTAAGTAGAGGGATGAGATCAATATGGGACTTGAAGTGGAAGGCGAATGTCTATTTCATTTACTGATATCTAGTCTATTTATGGCGGGCCGCGTCTGATCCTCTCTAGGGGCTTGCAAAAACGAAATCGACTCGGACAACATTTGAAAGATGGTGCGATCTTGAGGTGGTACCTACATCTCTTGAAACCCCACTCCTATCGAGGTTGGCTGCGCAGACGGGGGAACCGGCGGTTGCAAAACAGGGTGAGATCCCAAACCGCCCATATTAACGATCATGGAGATCAAAAACAACCTGGAGCCGCATATGGGAAATGCGAACTTCATCACGCAGGCGAGGCCAAACATCTTTGCCGAAGAGGGAGTTTTATCGCCCGGGAGACTCAGTCCGGCATTCATATCACCATCATCAACGCCGGCTCAGGTGTTACGCCACCCTGAACAGTTAGATGGAAGGGCTCAACTTGCGCCAGTAAGTTTCTTTTTATCTATATTTGGCCGCAGGACATGAGATCACCATTCGTAGTAAGGGTGCATAGGGAAGACTTCGAGTGACTCAACCCAAACGGAGACGGATTCACAAGGGTCAAGGTTCGCAACTGTTTTCGATGCGGCTTACCTGTTAACGCGTTCTAGGTTAATTATACCGAGAAAATGCGGATAATCTCTGCGTCACAGCCTGTGCAGTTGGCGAACCGAGGGGTAGCAGGAAGCGCGGGGGCACCCAGCATCTTTGCTGCCAGGAACAATGGGACCCAGAAAGGCGCTCCAAGAAGGAAGAAAGCGCGAGCTTCAGCCGCAAAGAGACTAAGCAGGGTTCAAAAGCCACTTAGCGTCTTAAAGGAGGATTTCCCAGATGTCCCCGTGGCTGATATTGATGCGTATGTTCGTCGGTCAAAAGAGACTCGAGAGCGAGAAGTGGCCCAAGGAACCACCCCGGGGAAGGTCAAGAGGCCGATGAATGCCTTCATGCTTTATCGAAAGGCATACCAGCACCTAGCGAAAAATATCTGCACCCGGAATAATCATCAACTAGTGTCCCAGGTCTGTGGTGACGGGTGGCCACTAGAACCTAGCGAAATCAAAAATCGCTTTAACGAATGGGCAAGACTTGAGCGAGAGAATCACCAAAAGCCCATCCAGGCTATAAATTTTCTCCATCTAAGCCAGTTAAGAAAGTTCAAAGATCCAAAGGCCTCAACGAAAAAGAAGTCCAGAAGGGGAGCAAGATTGGTCCACTGGGTTGTTGATAAAAACATTAGGCCCAAGGGCTGTCATGCACCAGACCAGTGCCAGCGAAACTACACCGGGGTCAGTCTTCGAGACTTACTATGATTCCAATGGGCCCGAGGTATCGGTAGACTGCCCCGTTTATCATATCCCCGAATGCAGAAGACTAGACCAGGAGTCGTACGATGGTCCGACATGCACTGGTAGCCAGTATTACCAGCAGAGCGTGTTTTTAACACAAAACAAATGCGAGATCGTTGAAGATGTCACAATGGCAAGGACGCCGTCTCGCACTGAGGCAACGCATGTCGCGGGATTCGGAAACATCCACTATCCGTCAGTGATAGACACGTTCCCTGGTGGCATGGAGGGAATAGATTCCAAACACTACGCATCCGAGTATTATTCACCTGAGCGCACCTTAGCTGAAGAACCCAACGCGAAGTGTTATGAGCCGGCAATGGAAAACTGGGAATTTGGCCGAGAATCAGCCTGGATTGCGTCGAGCCCTCTTGAAGTGCCACTTTATGAGCTGTTCAGCCAGGACCCTCATCTTAGCTATCTCAAAGGCGAGGATGGAGGCTGGCAAATGAATGATGAGACTAGATAAGAAGCCTGTGATGCTGAAATCCTCGGCAACAGTATGTGGGGAGGTCGGCAAGTTGCATGCAGCTCTGAGAAGCCAATCGATTTATTATGAGTATTCTCAGCGACTTCGTGATAAGACCGGTGCTGTTTCTGTTTAAATGCATATGTCTCATACCTGAAAATTAATTTCATCATCTATCAAAACAAACTTAATGAGGCTGTGGTTGGGAAGCTTCAAATTGTTCTCAGAGCCTAATAACTCTTCCTCCTCGCCACACGTCTCCACCGGAACTATCCTTTTCATCTCGCAAAGTCGTCTGAGGGTCCCTTCGATCATTCGAACCAAGCTGCGAACGTATTTTGCTCCTAAGCGAATCGCCATGCCTTGGATTCCTCGCACTTTTGCCGGCTTTGGCCTCATCTTGCTGGCACATTCGTGAGCTATCCTTCAGCCTCAGTGAAATATTATTACTGACTAGCCATGTCTATTGGGCTAGATATTTCTCCGCGCGGGAACACTCGGCTCAGGCTTCCCGCATAGCAACCCCCTCTGGCTCCGTGTTGTTTCAAAGTGTTGCTTCACCCGACCTCCCTCTGCCGACTGATGTCCTCCTAGAAGCCATAGCCGCAACCCTTATCATTTGCCTCAGCTTTGTTTCGAGCTCCTCAGCTGAGGCCCATAAGATGGCGAGTCTGGGCCGGTAAACTAGAGCGAGAAGGACCAAGGGGCTTCACTGGAAGCAGTGATGGTGGGAATCAGCCGTCCTTCGTTGGCAACCCATTTCGAATGCTAGAGACGCGACCAGGCTTTGTAGATATACGCCATCAGAGGAAGGTTTTTTCCAGTGGGCCAAGGCGGAGCCTAGCATTTCTGCATGACTTGGGATGTTGAGCCAAAGACGTGTCGAGACCTGTATGCATATACAGTACTGTAAGAGGAAGAGAGATTTACGATCGGGCTCTAACCGACTCGCCCAAATCCCGTGTAATCTCGGTTTTCCTTCTTCTTTTGAATAAGCTTGACTGGTTGCTTCGTCTCAGCGAAGTGTTGGTCCTGGTTTGTTTGCGCATTGTCTCAATCTAGGGCGAAGTGACGGACAGATGCCGAGGATATCATCGGTATAGGGATTTAGGTTGCCAACTTGGGAAGGCTGTAGGAAACCCTGCCACCTCACTTGTTTCAAGGTAGCTCTTTCCCAGCAGCCTTTCCATACCTGACCTTATATTCTCCCTTAAAATCAATGGTAGCTCGCCGTGTCTTTCTTTTAGGCAAACAGGAAGACAACTTACCCTATCTCTTGCCACCTATCCATCACGGAGACTACTTTGGAACATACCTAGGAATTGATGAATCAGCACTGGCTCTATTGAGAAGATGCGGCGCAGTCATGAAAGCGGCAGCGAAACTTTCCTCCAAGTAAGGGATGGGGGTATTTTTCTTGCTCTCGAAGTGAAAGGTGATGCTCTTGGTGCTTCATATTACTCTTCAGCAGATCTGGCCTTAGTACTACTAGAGGAGGCGCCCTTGTCCGAAAACATCTGTATCGAACACCTCATAAATCACGTACGCCCAACCCTAGTTTTGGCACCAGCCAACGTTCCGGAAGGCTTGGTGCGCCGACTACAGCGACTAAACGAACTCGATGGTTTGCCTTGCACAATCCCTATTAGCTATGATGTTAATGCAATTTTTAACTCGAAAATATCTAGCAGGATACACTGAGAGGTTTTCTATTCGGCTCCTAAGCCCGGCCATATTCTCATATGAGATAGCTTTGGCCCGCCTCGCGGCACTGGCTTGTCTAAAGCCAGCCACTAGCTGCAAGTCAAATGGGCCAATGCTGGCGCTCAAAGATATTCAAAGCCTCCGCTTGGGGGCTATGATTGATCTTGACAGTAAGCTCTCAGTATGTTGAGTTCAGGCCATCCGTAATCTTCTTGTGTCTTCACCCTCCGATTATAAATGCTGGCATAGTAACCAACCTTTTAGATTAGCTGTGCTGGTGCTATCATCGAGGGGACCCGGCAGCATGGCCTTCCGAGTGCTGAAAATGCATCTTCATTACGAATGATCACCCTATCGCATCAAGTCTTCATGACAATGGACACCTTCTCCTCCTTGCAGATATTTAGGGCTGAATTGCACCCAAACGGACAGATGAAGGATAAATGTGGAATTTCCGCCATGGCGAAGGAGAACTTATCCATTTTTGGGCTCTTTCGACAGCTAACATCAACGAGTCAAGGAAGGGCGAGGCTCCGGAGGGACCTTCTACGACCAACAATGGATTTGGGAATCCTTTCAGCACGACAGAATGCGATCTCTTTCCTTCTAAAGAAGGACAATCAGGAGGCACTACTGCCGCTGCGTCGATTTCTCCGAGGAATGCAGGACGCCAAGACCCTTCTCAAGCGGATGGAAACAGGGAGTTGGTCCATAGCCTCCCATCGACCGGTCGGTAATGACACCTGGAAAGCTCTGTGGAAGTTCACAGTTCAAGCAGTCGGGTTGCATGCCTGTTTAGAGCAGCTCCTGCCCACCCCCAGCATTTTGACACAGGTGTGGTCTGTCCAGTCCAACCACGAGACAAGATTACCTCTAACAATTTCGGCACTAGATCTTTGATAAGGTGCAGCCTGCCATTCTCGAGGCAGTTGGAGGTTTGATTCGGCGAACGATTAATTTTGAGCAGTCGGAGACCTGTGGCCGACCCGTTGTTGCGCTGGGAGTAGATTGTAGACTGGATAGTCTCAGGCACAGTTACGATGGATTGGAGCCGCTACTCACAGAGGTAGCAGCCACCATAGGCGAGGCATACTCAACATCAACAACCAAGGAACTCTGCCGATGCGTATTTTTCCTCAGCTCGGATTTCTCACAGTAATTGATAAGATTTGGCTCGCCCAGCGCCGTTCGCTCGGCATCCATGCTACCCTCATAGTGACTGGGAGCAGAAGTTTGTTGATCAGGCTCGCATTTACTATAAGAATGGGTATATGAAAGATCTTGATGATCGGTTTGGCGACTTGTATGGCACTGTTGCAGGTATGTTGCGATAACTATCCCGCCCGATGACGCCCATGGGCATGATCTAAGGGCTAACTAATTCCATGGTTCAAGATAGAGAGGTTGAGATAATGCATGACCTGGAGGTCCAGATCCTTTACCATCGCACCGCCCTCGAGCAGGCATCCGAGGTCTGTGGCGAACTTGATAGCATCCTAACAATGGCGGCTGCCGCAGAAAAATATCAGTGGACAATGCCCATCCTATCAGCTGACTCTACAGCCATTGATATCCAAGGAGGTCGTCATCCGCTCCTCGAGCTAACCACACGGTTCATCGAAAACAACTGTGTTCTGGGTGAGAAACCCGTCACGTGGTCATCTCGTCATGGACATATGCCCCGAACAAAAGAGGTGACGGACACTAGGGCGTTGCTTATTACGGGGCCAAACCAGTCGGGGAAGAGTGTTTACTTGAAACAGGTGGCGCTTATCGTTTACCTCGCGCATATTGGCAGTTTTGTCCCCGCGAAGCGCGCCTTTATTGGGCTAACAGATAGAATTTTGACTCGCATTAGCACAAAGGAGTGTTCTTGGCGGAGCGAAAGTGCATTTTCTATCGATCTCCGTCAGGTTGCCCTCGCTATGAATGGGGCTACGAGGCGTAGTCTTGTATTGATTGACGAATTCGGAAAGGGGACACAACCACAGGACGGTGTGGGCCTGCTGGCAGCAGTTATGAGGAATCTTCTCTCTCGAAACGAGGATACGCCTCGTACTATCATCGCCACCCATCTGTTTGAGGATCTCAAAAGTTATCATAGAGAGCCAGGTTCCGTAGTAGATGTGGCTCGACTAAATGTTCGATTTGATCCGAAGATATATGCATCCGATACACGAATGGTGTATCTCTATACTTTAGAACGAGGGGAGGGGGTACCTCGAGTTTCGGTATCGGATGCGCGTCACTGAATGGGGTTGATGGAAGTGTTGTTCACAGAGCGACAGCTATTATGGGGCTCCTCCAGCGAAATGCTAGCATCAATGATATTTCTTCACAGCTTGGGAAGGCACAGAAGCAACGCTTAGAGGCTGTAGAAGCGACTTCTCGTGATCTAGTTCATAAATTGAAAGGTGAAGGTGGATAAATGGGATTGAATTGACTCAATCACAGGAGATGTAGGAGATGTAGGAGATGTAGGAGATGTAGGAGATGTAGGAGATTATAGATGCATCGAATTGAAAAATGTAGTCTATAATGTGGTGGTGCACGGCAGGGGATCAATATGACGTTTCTTACCTATTCTCTTTGAAGACTTCTAAGTCTCATCTGGTTCTTTGTAGCCCCTGAGAGTCCACTATGAAACAAAGGTCAAAGTCGTCTCTAAAAGACGCGCTTCGCACTGTCCCCCCCTTCTCACAAAGAAACACACCCCTTTCCTTTCCTTCATCGCATCTTATCATTGTTAATTATTCCTCACTCACTCCCAAAGGCCTTTCTGGATCCTGTGTGTTCGTGCCCTTGATATCCGGCGCAAGCGGCACAGCTGCCCTAAGTACGGTAATGGCTGTCTAAACCACAAAACCTCCATAGGCTCGGCACAATGTCACAATCATCACAGACTCCGGCTGGGGGTGGTGGAGATGAGTTGCGTCGTCCAACACAGGGTTATCAACTTCGGAACCTGCAATCTACGTCCTATGAGTCTCAGCCGCAGGCGGCCAGATATACAAGTACGCGGAGGTATTCCGACGATGACCTGGCTCCAGCTACACCACCATCCCCATCAACCTACTGGGACCAGCCCTATTCCGTTCGCCGTCGCGAGATACCCCTTGATGACGACACGGCGCCTCGTCCAGAATCCCCGATTGATCCGTCTGCACTACAATTTGCATTACCTCCAAGTATAGACGCGCTATCCTCGACACTCGACCCCTACGAAACAACGATGATGGATTCACTTGTGGCCTCATCGAATTATTACGACGAAGTACACACTGCTGACAACGAATCTGACATGGTCCCGCTCACATCTCAAGCGCAGCCGATATCTGGAATGCTAAGCCCACGCACCCAGGACTCGATGCCAAGAAACAGCTTTCAGACCGTATCTGACCTTGATAACGGGCCGCCTCGAGGCCGTGATGTGAGGGGTGGACTTGACATTGGTCTAGAATCCACGGCGGAGAGGCAGCATGGGTATGGAGGCAGCCTCATACCAACAACCTTCGCTCATTCTCGAACCTCGTCGACTTCTGGGGCACTTTCAAGGGCAGGATCAATCGTCAGAGCGATGTCACAGAGGGTTGTTAATATCAGTGGGGAGGGCGAGGCCCTTGACCGAAGGCCCAGCGTCCGCCGGCAAAGCTCTCAGATCGAGGCGGGACGACAGCCTACGACCCATCTCTCTCTTGGCCCAAATGTGGATACCTCATATCCCTCCCAGATATTTTCGAACACTGCCGATGAAAAGAATGCCTCTTCAAGGTTTGCCTTTGGTGAGCTGCGATACGCCCAGTCCTCAGCTGTTGATGGTATGAACCCCTTGAGAGGGAAGAGCCTAGGAATATTTTCACCGGACAATGCAATCAGGAAAGGCCTCTGCGAACTCTTGGTACATGCATGGACGGAACCCATCATCTTAGTCCTTATCGTTTTACAAACAGTTTTGCTCGCTGTTGAGGCTGCACCCAACGTTTTCGAGCTGGGCAATGGTCGACCGGATAGATGGGGTACCACCAGGATCGATTGGGCAATGTTAGGCCTGTTCATCATCTTCACCTTAGAACTAATGGCCCGCATCATTGTGTCAGGACTAATCCTCAACGCTGCCGAATATAGCACAATCGATCGCAACCGAGGTATTGGCGCGGCGATAGCCGATCAATACAAAGCTATTTTTCAACCGCAGAGGCACAAATCAGTCAAAGGCAACGCTCGCCACACTCGATTAGAGCCTACAGTCGCTTCCCGATCGTTTACTTTCGTGCAGAGACAAACTAAAACTATTGAAGATCAGCGGAGATGGCAACTGGCCCGTCGTGCGTTTCTCCGCCATGGCTTCAATCGATTAGACTTTGTTGCTGTTGTTGCATTCTGGGTATCATTTCTTCTGGGTATATTTGGGCTCGAGAAGCGCCATCATCTCTATGTCTTCAAAATGCTTAGCTGCCTACGCATCATTCGGTTGCTCGCCTTAACGAATGGAACTGCGGTAGGTACCTAGTTCCGCATCCCCCAGCATCTCCACTAACTCAATACTTAGATCATCCTACGAAGTCTGAAAAAGGCGACCCCACTCCTCGTCAGAGTGGCCTTTCTCGTCAGCTTCTTTTGGCTCCTTTTCGCCATTATAGGCGTTCAAAGCTTCAAAGCAAGCCTCAGCAGGCAGTGCGTCTGGCTCGATCCTCTCGACCCAACAAATAAATCAGCGTCTTTCACGAATTCCTTTGCCTTTTGTGGGGGCATCTTGACAATAACACTGGTCAACCGTCTCCGTGGGTGACGACCGACGATCCCGACGACCTTACAACCCTCAGACCTGTTCCAAATTCTGGAAAAGGATTCATATGTCCCCGGGGATCCATATGTCTCCAGCAAGGTAATCCTTATAACGGTACAGTCAATTTCGACAACATATTCCACTCGTTGGAGCTGGTCTTTGTGATCATGAGCGCGAATACCTTCTCCGATCTTATGTATTATACTATCGACTCAGATTACCCGCCAGCAGCTTTATTTTTCGGCGCGGGAATCATGATAATGATGCTCTGGCTCACTAATCTTCTGATTGCTGTCATAACCTCATCTTTCCAAGTTATTCGGGAGGAAAGCAAAGCCAGTGCCTTTACAGCAGAGGAAGCTGAGCCTAGCCCCTCGCGCTCAGATGAGGTACTGACGAGACGATCGCTTCTACAAAAGGCGTATGATAGAACCGCGATGGTTTGGGTCATCATCATTGCTTTTGCCCTTATAGCGCACTCCTGCCGAAGCGCTGTGATGAGCGAAACCCGCAAGGTTTTCATCGATAGGACGGAGCTTGTCGCAACGATATTGCTTGATGTTGAAATCTGCCTTCGGTTTCTTGCCGATTGGCGCCGCTTCCACCGAAGCTGGCGGAATCTCTTTGACCTCGGCCTAGCTTTAATAACCTCTATCATCCTTATTCCCCTATCCAAACGTCAGGGAGGCCATACGCTTGGCTCACTGTCTTCCAAATTCTGCGAGCCTATCGGATTGTAATGGCAATTCCGGTTACACGCAAACTTATACTTCTCGTGCTCGGGAACGCAATGGGCATCGGAAATCTCATGTTGTTTGTTTTCCTTATAACCTTCATTATGGCTCTCTTTGCTGTTCAACTGTTTAGGGAGAAATACCAAGCGCAGATGAGGACGGCGAGCTCTACCGCATATCCTTCTCCACCATCTTCAACTCGTTCCTTGGCATGTATCAGATTCTGTCAAGTGAGAACTGGACGGATATCTTGTATGCTGTGACTGCTGCCGGGAATGGGTTTGATACGGCCTGGATTGGTGCTGTGTTCTTGATCGGCTGGTTTATACTCTCATTCTTTATTTTGGTCAACATGTTCATTGCCGTTATCCAAGAAAATTTCGATGTTTCAGAGGATGAGAAGCGCTTGGAGCAAGTGAAAGCATTTCTACAAAGAAAGGAGTTGGGCAAATCATCTGGCAACCTGGCGCTATCTACCATCTTCACCTTTGGACGGAACCGGAAGAAGAAGGCGAAGGATCCGTTGGACTATGGACCAGCCATGATGGAGATGCTTCTGAAGGATGCTGTCGTCCGCGAATTCCTCGATGACCCTGTGGATCCTCTTCAAGAAAGTGCAGAGCCGTCTCAGCCTCTACGTCAGCTTACGACAATGGTGGGGGATGTTAGGCCCGGCTATCTCTCGTCTCTTTGGGGCAAGGTTGTATTGGCCGTCTCGAGTCAAGAACCGAACCCCTTCTATTCTAACATCCGCTTTGAAGGGCCAAACGACAATCTGGATCCTCGCCAGATGGCCCGGCAGGCGGTATCCGCCACTAGCGCCCGTCGAAGAGCACAGCGCGAGTATCTCGCGAGGCATCCCAGCTATAATGTTTCTCTGTTCGTTTTTGGGCCAAAAACCCTATTCGGCGCCTTTGTCAGCGACTTGTAGGCCCAGGTCGGGGTAGCGAGCGATTTGATGGGGTTGAGCCCAACAAAATTGCGTGGTACTCTTTCTCGGCCTTCATTTACTCCGTTACGGTGGCCATGGTTATTCTGGCTTGCGTGACAACACCCCTGTACCAAAAGCAATATCGCGAAGAGCACCAATTTAGCGTCCAGAACTGGTATGTGTGGACTGACCTTGCCTTTGCTGGTGTTTTTACTTTAGAGGCAGCCGTGAAAGTCATCGCGGATGGGTTTTGGACCCCCAATGCCTATTACCGCAGTTCCTGGGGAACAATTGACGGAGTGGTTCTCATCACCCTCTGGATTTATGTGGCAACTTTACTTGCGAATGATGGGGCCGTCTCACGAGCAGTCGGCGCCTTTAAGGCTTTAAGGGCGCTGCGCCTGCTCAATCTAAGCGACAGTGCCAGGGACACATTCCATAACGTTATCATATGGGGCCTATGGAAGATCATAGCGGTAAGGCCCTCGTTCAACTTGATGATCATATCCTCACCTAGTTTCCAGCGCTGCCGCTGTCATAGCTGAGATAAAACATGCTAACATGTGGACGTTGGTAGCCGGCATTTGTGTCAATATCGCTTCTCATCCCGTTCGCTATTTATGGCTTGAACCTATTTAGTGGAACTTTAGTCGCCTGTAATGATGACTCTGACACTGTTGTTCGCCTGGAAGATTGCTTCGGCGAGTATAACAGTGCACCATACAGCGAGGACTGGCTCCTATTGGCGCCAAGAGTAGTCTCTAACGAGTATCTCAATTTTGATGACTTCGGATCATCCCTCTTCAGCCTCTTTCAGATCGTTAGCCAAGAGGGTTGGGTTGATGTGTCATTCGCTGCACAGGCTATAACCGGTGTTGGCTTCCAGCCTCGTCCTCTTGTTGCCCAGGGAATGCAGTCTTCTTTGTGATCTTCAATCTCCTTGCTACGGTTTTCGTGCTGACACTTTTCATCTCCGTCTTCATGCGCAACTATACTGAGCAGACTGGTGTCGCTTTTTTGACGGCAGAACAGCGGTCGTGGTTGGAGCTACGAAAACTTATGCGGCAAATATCACCGTCTAAAAGCTCTTATGATGACTCGGAACACGCGTGGAAAAAATGGTGTCACAAAAGAGCTATTGAGAAACGAGGAGTATGGTACACTTCAATTACCTTCGTCCTTGTTTGTCACTTGCTCTTGCTAGTTAGTGAATTCAGCAATGAACCGGAGTGGTGGACGAAGACGAGGGACGTGCTGTTCTTTGTCTTCATTCTTGTCTATACCGCTAATGTTGCCGTTCGAGTTGTTGGTCTCGGATGGTCTCGCTTTCGAAGGAGCTCTTGGGATATCTATTCCCTTGTTGTTGTTACCGGTGCCTTTGGGGCAACTCTCGCGCTGCTGATTAGCAAGACAAGAGGGGAGACCTACGTGCAGCTACACAAGTTCTTCCTCGTGGGCATTGTTCTTCTGGTCATTCCACGAAATGATGCTCTCGACCAACTGTTCAAAACTGCCGCCGCAAGTTTGACAAAGATCAGCAACCTTCTCGCGACCTGGCTCATTTTCTTTATCATATTCGCCATTGCCATGACCCAGGCTTTTAGCCTCACGCGCTTTGGAGAAGCAGCCGGCAACGGACTCAATCTCCGGACCGTACCAAACGCCCTCATCCTCCTCTTCCGCATGAGTTGTGGTGAGGGTTGGAATGAGATCATGGAGGACTTTGCTGCCATTGAACCACCTCTCTGTGTCGAAGGCGATGACTTTTTCAACAGTGACTGTGGCAGCAAGCCCTGGGCTAGATTTTTGTTCGTTGCTTGGAACATACTGAGCATGTATATTTTTGTCAATCTTTTCGTTTCTCTCATCTACGAAAGTTTTAGTTACGTCTATCAGCGGTCAAGTGGCCTGGCCGTTGTAGATCGGGACGAGATCCGCCGATTTAAAGAAGCCTGGCGCAGCGTTGATCCGGCGGGAACCGGCTTTATCACCAAGGAGGCCTTCCCTCGACTTCTCGGGGAGCTCTCCGGCGTATTCGAGATGCGGATATACGATGCTGACGATTCAGTACGCCAGATTTTAGAAGACGTGAGAGGCGATGGCGCTAACGTGAGGCACCAATCACTTGGAGCGAGTGGTGGGTCTAGCTCTACCACTGGAGTTGACCTGGACAAGCTCAATGAGCGACTCTCACACATTGACGTACCGACTATACGAGAGCGTCGTCGCCGCTTTAACATTTTCTTTGAGGAAGTAATGGTATCGGCAGACCCTGATAAGGGTATCTCGTTTACCACAGTCCTGATGATTCTTGCCCACTACAACATCATCAGCGATAGTAAGAGTTTAAGGTAAGAAGAGCCAGCAACGTATTTTATCCACATCAGCAGTATGGTAACCTTGTAGATAGGCTTGAGGAGTTCCTCCGGCGTCGCGCAAGACTCCAAAGGGTGGAGGAAGAAGTTCGAAGGCGTGTTGTACTGGGATTCTTCGAGACCCTGTACTGGTCACGCCAATTCCAGAGACACATGGAACGCAAGCGAGCTGGAAGGATGGCGGCGGTCCCACAACTGGACATCCCCGACATTCTTGTCGATGATGAGGCCATCAGTGACGGCAGTACCAAATCCGCCACTAGTCAACGGATGGACGACCATAGATCTACACAACGGTGGAGTTGGGCTATCAGCCCTGGAGATAGGGCATCCCCTGAGCAGAGCTATCAACATCCTCTCAGTGCACCACGCCTATCACCCACCTCGCCGACGCGCCAGGGCTCCCGCTCCGGTTATAACTTTGAGTTTCAACCACCGCCCAGTGATGAACCTGAGAATAGAGGGCCAGCTGGCAGTGAGAGCGCAAGATTTGCGCGGGCGGCTGGCTCTTCCATGATTGAAGATATGCTTGACGATTCGGTGTGGGTTGAAAGTATCAGAAGAAGTGCAACCCTTCGCCGTTCGGAGAGGGGTCCTACCGGTATGGCGATAATCCTTGATAGGCGGCGGGCTGACTAGTTGGCGTTGGTTGCGTTCTAGTAATATGCGTTCACTCTTCCTTGATTTGTGCAAATAGGATTTTCAAGACGTACATAGGGAGTTAATTCATGTAGTTTGCATACACATATGTGCTGTTGTCTACGCCATATATCTCGGTGCCCATCCATGGATACATTTTGTTCCCGACCTGTTCAATAGCTTTAGAGAGAAATTAGATCCTTAACACTTAACAAAGCAGAGTAGCAAGAAGCAACACGAGAAGAAGTGAATGGTTTGACTAGCGGGGTGGGTGAAATTATGAGGCATTCATATGTTATACATATGTACTAGAGAGGGTGCTGGTCGAGAATAGTATTTCTTCCACCCATTCAGCCATTTCCTCCTCAGGGTTTACTCCCCTCAAAGGGGCGACGAATTTCTCTAATAATTATGACCTTTAAGTACGCACCCAAAAACATTGAGATGGCGGTTGAGGCCTTGGAGGAGTCTCGTCCGATCGTCGCTCCCTCTCGAGCAACGCTCGAGCCATGCTGCGGGCGGTGTTTCAGATCCTTTCCCTCAACGGATCCGACACCAACAACGCCCATGCTCGGTTGTAGCCCTTCTCGGTCTTGGAGGATGAGTCGTGGCACTTCGTAGATAAGGAAAGTCTTGGAGAGACCGAGTTTCAAATAACGCAGGGCATGAACCTCTCATGCAAGAAGCAGAGAAAAGTCAAGATAATGGCCCGTTGACTCGAGTTGAAACGGTTGTGGGATCACGGACATATCACCCACAGCATGTTGTCTGTTTTTAGGAGTTAATTTGGCTTCAATACGGTTTTTATCTAGACTCTGAGGTCGATCATACCAACGCGGGAAAGGGGCCACACCCACCTTCAAGTGAGCACGTCAGAAGACACAAAGATCAATTGATGCCCACCAACTCCTTCGATGCAACAATAAGAGCAAGCGCGACTCCCTCATCTTCGTGGAGCCGCACTGCTGTGAGCAGGAGAACGGTTAAGCCCTCGCTGTTGCTTAAGTATTTAGTGAATCGCCACTTATAGCAAGCCTCAGGCGATCTAGGATTTGGCGTGAAGGAAAATAGGTGAGTCTCCGTACACACCTTGCAGGGAAAAATAGAGAATTAATTTTACGAACTGAATTCGATACTTGGAAGTGCTCGGACTCTATTATGGGTTCAACGCTCTGACAGCGGCGAGACTCCTTTCCTACAAATCGCCAACTTCGTGTGCATCGGAACTGCTGACTCCTCTTCAGGGGACATGGTATTATGGCAGTACTTCGTTGATGTAAGCCAGACTCGTTTGAGAGAAAGTGAGCCGAACAAGCGGCGCGCACGATTAGAGCAGTGTTATGGTTTCCTTTTCGGAATGATGCTGAATAACTATGGCTGATCCTGAGGTTTCTTGGGGCACAAAGGGCGGTTCGCGAAGCGGACATGGTCCGTTAGTGAAAACCCTGAGACAACTTATGAGAAGGGGCTCCAGGGGTAACCATAGGAGATGGACAGGGAGCCCGCCACGGTCCGACACTAGGCAAGGGTCTCCGACAACTTTCTCATCCCTTTCGCAGACCTCAAGTATTACCCCGTGTTCCTGCGACAAGAGCGCGGGGTACTAAAGTACGACCTCGACCTTGGATTAGTATATAATATTAGCTATAATCTCATCATCTCTTCTGCCTCTTCCCGCTTGTCCTCATCCCTTTTTCTGTCGATCACTCGCTCTTTTTTTCTTTCTTTTTTTCTCGAGGCCCTATTGCCCTGGTCTGGCATTTTCTCTTCTCCCCTGTTATCTAGTCATTTTATTTGCCTTTACTTTGAACTTCGCTTCATTGCATGAGCTCTTTTACCGACCACTCGTTCCTTTTGATTGACTTGTCTCAACCGGTAGCGCCACTTAGTACAACCGAGAAGCTGAAGCCTTCTTTTGAGGGACATCTTTAACGACGCTGCCCCACAGCTACCCATCTATCATCACGTCAACATTTCAGACAGCCTTGTTTGCCCTAATTTCTAGCTCCAACATCCCTGTCGAGCTTCATTGTACTCTTGCACCCTCTTCAGCATATAAAGAGGCCACATAATCTGTTTCTTCGACTTATCTCTTGCCTCAAGTCGGAATTGAATCTCACCCGTCTGCCGGTCCAGTTCCTCGCTAGTCAACGCTGCGCACCCATAATGCAGTCCTCTCGGTTCCACGCCATCGCCGCCCGCTTCTCAGCGACTACCCTTCGAACCTCTTTTCGCCGGTCATCCTCGGTCTCAAGTAATCGCGATTCAATTGCCTCGACCGCATCGTCTCCTGTGAGCACCATCAATAGCATCATCTTTCGCCAGCCTTCTATCGTTGATCTCGAAGAGGAGAGGCGGAGTTTCGCTAGCGAGCTTAACATCCTGGAGCCAAGACCCATAGTCTATTGGGCCGGAGTGGAGGAGCGTATCGCAACATTTTAGATGCAGCTCCGTAAACGCATCGCGTTAACCTGATATGACGGGTGCCTCTTTAGTGGGCTTCATGGCTGGCTGCTGCCAGCCCTTGTGCGAGCACGGCACACAGCAAACCTCGATTACTCGTGCACGCTAAATTTCTCGGGACTGGAACTTGACTCGATCGTTCCAGCGCGTCGACTCCATCGGCCCCTTAGCCTTCTCTTGCACTGGGGTGATGTTCGACTCGGTCTTACCAGGCTTTCGTGCACCTGATCTATCAATACCTCTGTTCTCTTGAGGAGATATTTCACAGCCTGTCCTTTCTTATCTTCAAATCTATTTCCCACCCTACGAGACCCCGGGGGTCAATGCTAGGTGTGGTTTTGTTGCTTCACAAAACTGGGGCGTTTTCGGCATGGTTCAAATATAATGACGGCGTTTAAACCTGGATTGATTCGGGCCTCCTCTTTGTACCTAGTGTTTTATTTTATCTATCAGATCACCATCCCTCTCGGCGACTTTGACGCTTAATTCAGTTGCGGGGGCGGCCTTGGAAAATTCATTTTACCGTTATATGTGCGCAGCTCCGGTGATTGAGTTCTTGGTGCTGGGAGTCCCCGCGAGTGGTAAAGCTCTCGGATGGGAGACGGGTACTTCTCCGGACATCATATGATCGAGTACCGAGGTAGTTCCATTGAAGTCATACGATGACTGTGCTCCGTAGGTTTTACTCTATCTCTCTTGGATCTTCGCCATGCGCGCTCGAACACTTGTATCTCGTTCTTTGGCAAGGGATGATGCGGATAGAAAATACGATAGACAAGAGCCTGTTCTAAGGGAACCTGCGTGAATGCAAGGACCTCGAAACGCAGCAGCTCCCGATAGATTAGAGCCCACGAAGGAATTTTATGATATGGAGGCGAAAATCGAGTCACCGGTTCACGGGTGATTAAGCGATAGGGTGGATGGAAGACATTTCGCGTGAGCACGTAGGCATAGCCGGCGCCATAAGTTTAATTCAAGGGAGCGCTCTCTTTGCACCTTTAGGCAGAGGCGGGCATATGAACGACAGGTAGAAGAAACCAATAAGAAAAATAGCAAAGAAAAAGACTCCGTGACGCCCACCGGTCCCAATCTGAGTGATTCAATCACTCGAGCCAAACTTGCGTGCGTTAGTAAAAAGACTGTACCAAGCCCCCATGCAGTCTAGGCTTTGCACAATTGACTAGAAAGAGGCGAAGACGGCGTGGCACAAGTTACGCTACGTTCGATATTGTCTCGACACTTCGTTCAGTCATCAGTAGGGCAGACTACCGACGTCTAGACAGCCGCCTATCTTTGCGGCTCCTGGATATAGGCCGCACACCCGGTAAGCTTGGCGAGCTATGATGTTGTCCATATGTACTGAGGAAGAGTACGCTCAACAAATACCGGCAGAGCACTCTTGTGCCCGATCAAGAGATATGGTCGAGACTAAGCTTGACGTCTACGATATCGAAATGGCGAGCATTAACCCTTGCCCATCCCTGAGCAATCATTGAGGCTAGTAACATTTTAGAAATACCAGATTAGTTGGACTGCAACCTTATGAAGATGGATCGAACTGTAAATGAAAGAGCATACCTTTGAGAAACTTCTTCCGTTCATATTTCTTGAAGAAGGCGTCGTGGATGGTGGGTCGTGCGAGGTAGTCAACCATCAGTTGAACTATCGGCTCGATCTCATCTTCCGTATAGCCAGCGTAAAAGGCAATGATGTCGTCCTGAATCGCATCGTTAGACATAGGCTCGTCTAGGTTAAACTATCATCTTCTCTTGAACTGCACGTCACTTACCCATTCGCCACGGTCCAGTATCAACCTCGAGAGGTACATAGCACCGGCGGCAATATGGCTTGGTCGATAGGCCATGAATCGATGGTCCAGAAGACTTATCTCCATTAGATACTTGCCAATAGTCCGAGACTGAATATCGTAGTTATCCGCTTTCGAGATGCGGCGCAAAAGTTCATGGGATTCGGATAGCTCAAGTCATAGTTTAGGGTGCTAAGAATGAACCGTTCGGCAGCGAGGATTTCGGCCTCAGAAAAACCATCGTCGGCAACATGGCTAAAATTCGCTACATGAGGGGAGAGAACCTCCTCATATTTAGAGGCGATGAACATGGCGGTAATACCTACGAGTTGTAGGCGATCAAGTTGGACAACTTTTTGCGAAAGGAAACGGTCAATGATATTGACGGCCAAGAACAAGGTCTCGGGTAATAGGTGAAAGCGCGTATGAACCTCGATAAGCCAGTCAATCAAGATGCCACGCATTTTCCACTCCAGCTCGTCTTGATGATCCATGTAGTTTGGATTGGGGATTGTTTTAACTTCAAGGTCGCGCAGATATTCGAATATTTCATGGGTATATTCGGCAACCATAAGAGGGTCGTCAAGATCTTCCGGGTCCGGATCAGTAACTCCTGGAGGGAAAACCGAGGTGGATGTCGCCTCCACCCGGCTAGCCCCAGGCTCAGCCTTTGGAGCGCTGACGTCGTTATCCTCAGTAGACGCGAGTCTCTCGTCCGTATGGATTTTTTCCGCAATGGCTCTTTTTCACCCTCAACCGTTATATCGGTAAGGCTGGGGTTCGTAGCTGTGTTTGAAACCTTCCGCTTTGGGCCGCTCGAAGAAACCGACTTTCCGGCATTACGCCTTACTTCCGAGGTTATCCTAGAATTTTTAGCAGCTGCGGGTGCACGACCGGAGGTCCTTGTGGATTTCCGAATGCCAGCTGGCTGGGCAGCCTTGGAGACAAGACCGGCCCTAGAGGCAGGCTTTTTCCGTCCATGGCATCCGCCTTTGTAACGTTGCTGACATCGCCGAGAGCGGCACGTTTTCTTTGCACGCCCTGTGCTTGAGAATTTGTTGTCATTTTCGTCTGGACGCCTTTGGAAGGAAGGGCGAGCTCGTCGGCGCCAAGCGCGGCTGCCTTGGCCCGGGTCATACGCGTCGAGCGACTATTCTCGTCATTCTCATTCGAAACCGCTCGTGCATGGAGAGTGCGGCCCTGCATCAGCTTGGTTAGCGATTCTCATCACATAATAATTCAAAAAAGACGATGGTAAACCTACGGGAGGCATTGTGTGAACGTTGACAGTGTATGACAAGTTACGTTGTATGAGTTCCTCTGCGTAAGGGCGTAACTGAAGTAGTATATCTATTCGCGTTTAGTTTCACCCTACATGCATCTTGTCGAAGGTGCACCCTCTCTTCGAGAGCAACAAACTTGATAACATACGGAGTAGCGGTCGCCGACCAGAGCAGAAGTTGACGTAAAAGGGGAGGAAACAAAAAAGAAAAAAGAACAACGAACTTGTAAGCTTTGATGGCCTTGGAGCAGCGCGCTAAAGGTGGAAGAAATTAGAGACAAGGGAGGAAAAGAATGGTGTTGGAAAGAACAAGACGAAGAGGAGCGAAGGGGAAAAGTGCGGTGTTTATGTTGAACCTGAGTGACCGCGATGGTGGAGTCTCATTGTTTGGTGGAAAGGACGTGGGCCATGGCACGGTACGCATGGGTCGCGGCGTGTTCCAGGTACGTACCGAAGACGCCAAATTCGGCAACTTACCCGGTGCGAAGTTGAGCGCGGTGCATTTGGTCCATGGCTGCCTCCCACAGCTTTGAATGCTCTTTGATTGATTGTCAATATACTTGACCCAGTATCTAGTGCTGAAAGAGGATTTCCCCTTTCTTCTCCTTCTAACTGTGCTCATTGAGCTATATGCGTACGATTTTTCGCTCATAATTTTCTTCTCTCCTGTGGAAAACCCGTGCTGCAAGAGCAGGTTGTGTGGATGCCCCAGAGTCGGGGCCAGGTACTTTTTCGTGAAGAACGTGCCGAAGGAACGCGTAGTTCGACGTGCAGTCACACTATTCGCACCTGGTGCAACGAAACTCAACAAAGGCAACTGCTAGGCAACGGGCCTCCCTCCTATTGGCCACTGGTCCTGCGTGTCTCGACTCGTCGCGTCCCCAAATATGGGGACAATTCCAAGGAACGCACAGTGAAAGAGGTGTGGCGTTAGTCTCATCCACCAGCCACATCTCCTTGAGCACAGAATTTTCCTCACGATGGAATCTCTCTCTCTTCCACCTCCAGGCTTCGCATCCAGCCACCAGAGCAGATAATGACACCTCTTAGATCTTAGATGAGCGTGCGCCCTATCGTCTGAAACGGCGGCCCCTCTCCAACGGCGATTGTTAGCTGTGCACTCATTTCCTGTGTATCAGTCCACATCTCATCATTCCTAGAAATCCCAGCCTCGCCCGAAAACAGAGGAAAGTATGTTTCCCTCACAGTTGTTTTTGCATCTCTCCGCCCGCAATATGGCAATTCGAGTAGCCTCACGGTCCCTAGCACTAGGCGGCGCTTGTTTCTATTCTTCCACAGCTGGGAGCGGCACCACGATCACTTCAGCTTCCAAGACAGGCGTAAGCGGGACTATCGTGAGCAAATTCATGCCTGCTACGACCACAGAACAATCTTCGAAAGACAACGTCCTCTTACGCACATATAAGCCTCGAACTCCTGGTCTCCGGCACTTAAAACGACCCATCAACGATCACCTTTGGAAGGGCAGACCGTTCCTTCCTCTTACTATCCCAAAGAAGGGCCACGGAAAAGGAGGCAGAAACGCAAGCGGAAGGATCACCGTTCGGCACAGGGGAGGCGGTGCAAAGCGACGACTTCGGTCGGTTGACTTCGAAAGATGGCGACCCGGGTCTCATATTGTGGACCGAATTGAGTACGACCCTGGCCGTAGTGCCCATATTGCCCTAATCACGGAGCAGGCGACAGGTCGAAAGACGTACATAGTGGCCGCCGATGGTATGCGAGCTGGAGATATTGTCCAAAGTTATCGGTCGGGTATTCCTCAAGATCTCCTCGATAGCATGGGCGGTGTCATTGACCCTGGTATTCTCGCCGCAAAAACAGCGTTTCGTGGGAACTGTCTTCCTGTTCACCTCATACCTGTAGGGACCGTGGTTTACAACGTGGGATCTAGACTCAAGGGACCTGCCGTCTTTTGCCGAAGTGCCGGGACTCACGCCACGATTATCTCTAAGGAGGAAGAGACGAGGGAGGATGGCACAAAGGTTATGACGGGCCAGTACGTAACTGTCCAGCTTCAAAGCGGTGAGATTCGACGAGTCCATAAGGACGCTTGTGCAACAATTGGTGTTGCGAGCAATCCCAATCACCAGTACCGACAGCTTGGCAAGGCCGGACGCAGTCGTTGGCTTAATATCCGACCAACCGTTCGAGGTGTAGCCATGAACAGAGGTAAGTAGCCGGCCGGTCATAGGGGTTGCATGCAAACCGGGGGCCTCGTTAAATGCTAGACTAACCCGGTGATATCATCTAGTTGATCATCCACATGGCGGCGGTCGCGGCAAATCAAAGAGTAACCGACATCCCACTAGTCCATGGGGCACACCAGTAAGTTTCCTAGGGCACCCTATTCTATGGTGTGCATCTACTTAACACTCCGATTCCATAGGCCAAGGGTGGGTATAAGACTCGCCGCAAGCACAATTTCAATAAATGGGTTGTCGTGCCTCGCGTTCGCAATGTAGAAAAGCGACGGGAGAAGAACGCGAAGAACTCATAATTGGTGTTAAGTGTCTCGCCATGCTTAGGCGCCATTAATGGGGCTAGCCTTGATCGCTCGCCAATCCAAGCACAATACACCCGGCAGCTCAGGTTAGAGTTGTATGATAAATTGGGGTTGTATCATTACACCGTTGATTTTCTGTATACCATCAATATGACATAAATCTTGATAGAGGGAACGCTGAATCAGAACTTCTCTCTGGGACTGATGTTGATAAAGTGAAATATATTGCTAAACCCATCTCTCTGGGCGGAAGAAGAACACTTCCTTCTTAAAATTCCTTTTTTCTTGTTCTTTGCTCTCTTTATCTTTCTCTTACATTTCCCGTCCTGTGCCACAAAAGGATAGGGTCCGGCATTTTATACTGAACTCGATATAAACTATACAGTGCCGTTAGAGCTCTCAAGAAATTTTGTTTAGAGCACTAGGGGTCGAGGAATATGTCAGTCGCAGTGCTTCTGCAATGTTAAATGCTCAAAATCTTCAGCCCATTCTGTCTTAGTTTAGCTGTAGCGAACGTCCTCCCGGTTGATTACTATAATCGATCGGGTATTTATGTCCACATGTATTTATAGACTAAACCTCCGACCCTACGAATCAATTTCAAGCGGTTTATTGATGTCAGTCTTTACAACGGAAGAACCGCCAGTTTGAATAGGCTCGAAAGAGCTGCCCGGAAACAGAGGGTTTGAACTCCCTCGAGTTTCAGACGTTGCAGCACGGATAAGAGAGGTCTGGATGTATCAACCCGTAAAGAGGTGCAGGACTGACAACGGCTGATCATCGTGAAACCGCTCTTGGGCTTGGCTCTCAGCTTATCGCCTACTGATTTCGCTTCACCCTGACGAAGCGGATTTGCATCAATAATCAGGCCTACTACTTGTATTATCAGATCTGCCCCTGATATCCGCGCACACGCTTGTCAAATGGTTATTTGCCGCAACATGCCCAACTCGTTGTCCTTGTAATACTGTAATAGGTGGGTGGCAAGGCGAGAAGTACTCTTGGCGCTTATCAATGGGTTGCGTGGCGTATTGGGGCAGTGCCAAACTCGGCTGCTCCCACCCACTGCGGACGGCGCTAGTCGATCCTTCCGTCAGCCCTCGATATCGGCTCCCGAAAGGGTACCCGTCCAGTAGGAAGGAGGCCCAGAGTTTCTACCTCTGACACGACTCCGCCCATTTTTTGAGACTCGGCGCACTCTTTTGATATCCGTTGTGTCAACGGAGCGCCTTCCACTACAGAACGGGGAGAAACCAACGGTTCAAATTCATCAATCCCGGTTCCATTGATGGAGTTACAATGGATCAATTGTTAATACCCATTTGGAGTTTTAGGGGTCTGCCACACAGTTTGTGAGGAGGCCCATGCAACTGGATCCTCTCGACGCATGGAAGCCAAAGACCGAATATTACTTCTCACGTTCCCATTGAATGCCTCCACGCAAACCCACCTCCCACCCTTTCTCCTCTACTCTTTCACAATCTCAAACCACCAAATCTTTCTACTCTAAATATCAAGTCCAATCAGAAGACTGCTGCGCAATCACTCTTCTCTTGTCCGCCAGCACTTTATCTCCAACTGGGCATGAGGCTTGCGGCTTCGAATTCGACGCCTCATCTCACGGGCAGCTTGGCAAGAGATTCTTCGCAAGAGCCCTTGACGCGCACGGCGCTCTCCTCAAACATGGGGAAGCAATCAAGATGGACCACGAAAAAAGGCACCTTTCTCGTCGCTTCCTCCTACGTTCTCGACTGGTTTGTTCTCATCGCCTTGGCCATCGCCGGTTACATTATGGGTCATGTGTCGCCAAACATGCGTCCATTTTACCTGGCAGACCCCAATATCTCGTGAGAAACCTGATGGCGCACATACACTCGAACGTTACAGATTAGTGCTAATTCGTGAATGGCGGTACCCTAGATTCCCCTTTGAGACAAATGAAACCGTCCCTACCATGACCTTGGTAATTCTCAACAGTACAATTCCTATAGGCGTTATCCTCGTCGTGTGCCTCGTCTTCGTTCCTGGGTCCACAGTCCCCAAGGGCACCCCTAAGTCCCTTATTTGGCGACGGAAACTTTGGGAGCTTCATATCGGCTGGTTGGGCCTTGGTCTGGCTGTTTGCTCGGCCTGGTTTTTCACGAACGGGATGAAGAATCTTTCGGCAAACCACGGCCGGATTTGCTCTCGAGATGTCAACCTGACCTAGACAATATCCAGAGCCATATCGTCGGTGGCGGGCTCCTTGCTGGCCACCAGAATGCCCTTGTTGCAGCTTCTATCTGTACGAGCAAAGACAAGGATCTTTTGGACGACGGGTTTCGCAGCTTTCCCAGTGGCCACTCATCATCAGCAGCAGCGGGCCTTATCTACCTGACACTTTTCTTAGCAAGCAAGTTTGCGGTCACTATACCTTTCCTTCCGGCAACGTCCGGACTTGCAAATGAGTCATCCCTTTCCGCCTTTCCATCTCGACTTCCCGGCAGTCATAATTCACCAAGTGTTGCCGAATACAGTGTGGTAGATGCGACAAAAGACGGTGGAAGCCACTCTTTCGGCCCAGCACAACTACAAAGGACCGTTATGGCTGTGCGCAGGCAAGCGGCGGCGCCCCTATCTACCTACTAGTCCTTGCCTTGCTACCCTTCTTCGGCTCAATATTCATTGCTTCGTCAAGATGGTTTGACTTTCGCCACCATGGATTTGATATCATGTTCGGCTACTTAATAGGCACGCTCGTTAGTATTTTCAGTTTTCGCTATTACCATCTACCCATTAGCAGCGGCGCTGGCTGGGCCTGGGCGCCTAGAAGCCCAGAAAGAGCATTTTGGGCTGGTGTTGGGTGTTATAGCTACGCTACGCACAACCAGTTGAATCCAAGATCTATCGACGAAGAAGAGGGCATTGAAATGCAAGGCGCAAGGCAGCGAAGGCCTGATCGTAGGGCGACTGAGGAAGATCATGGCCCGACTACTTCTCCGTTACAAATAGCGCCTGATGCCCGCTGAAGTACTGAGACCTTTGTGGACAAGACGGACCGTAATCATTGTAGTTCATTTGGTTTATTTCTCTTATATTCTTTGCTTGTTGGGTTCTATATATGAGATCACTCCGCTAGGGGAACCTACTCGGTTGGAAAGAACACGGGTTCTAGTTGGCGTATTGGAAGGTTCGAGATTCGAAGTCGACATGCAGTTTAGCACTGCATCGGGCTCATATTATCATGGCTTATTCATAGCAGGTCTGGAACTACATTGAAAATAGCAATATTTCGAAACATCCTAGTTTTTGACAAAGGACATTCCATGGACAGATTTAGTCTAACCCCGCCCTCTCAACAGACGATGGCTTTGTGTATTCTTGACAACAGCGATGGGTTCGGATTCTGTGTTTATGCAACACATTGCTTCTACTCAGGCAGTCGCATAAGCCACACCAAGGCGAAGACACCAAGCACTCCCGGGGCCGTAAGGTACACGAACAAGAATAGCTGGATTTACTTGTTGCGCATTTCCGGGGTCGGTATCGAGCTTGTGAAAGGTACATGACGTGGAAAGCAGATGGAGGTTGATGGGGTTGTGGAAGTCAAATGTTCAGATATTGAGTGACGCCGCATCCAACTGGTTCGGTGCCAAGGGAGCGCGGTTTCCCGCCCCTTCGAATGCCGCATCATCGTCTCCTCTACCCCATCTTCGTCGAAATCATCCCGAAACCCACTGTCAACGTCGAGCTTTCTCAGGCGGCGGCGCATATGCTCGCGTTGCTGATCCTGCCAACGAATGAGAGCTGCGGGGGCGTGAACTTTGAAACCATAGACACGGGGATATACCGGTCAGCACTTTTCGTAGGGACTAGGGTTGGGTAAACTTGGAAAAGGATGTTGTGGAAGGATGTTCCGAAGTAGGCGCCATCAATACTCGCGTGTCGTGAGGATTTGGGATTGTAGATGTCTTCACATTTCGCACAATAGAGTTTGACAGGTTTCAAGTTCGGAACATCTGAGAGGCCCATGGGTAGGAGAGGGTGTGAGTTGCACATAACCCGAGGGCATTTTCCGAATTCAGCCTTCTTATATTTGTCCAACTAAACAACATGAGGAGTGTCAGTTAAAGCAAGCGAGGGCACGGCATACGAGACGGAGGCCTTTTGTGCGAAATGCTCTTGGATGGGAGGGTGAGTCGAGACTTGTCAGATCCAGACACAACAGCAAGGGAAACGTGACTGACCATTCGTGCTAGGCCACGGGTTGTGACGATGTATCTAGCATGAACTAGGCCATAAAGATGACGGGCAGACTTTTCGATTGCGTCTCGCATAGCATCTTCGCAGTCGAGATCAAACGAGTCTGTCACTAGTTCCAGAGCGTACTGGTAATACTGCACTTCTGTGTTTAACCCAGTCAAATTGAACCGATCCATGATGTACTCCTCATCGATTTCGCAAAAATATTCATTACCTCGGGAGGAGAGGAACTGGCGAGAGAGAGGACTGATAAGTACAACGTTTAGGAAAGGTTACTAGATAATCGGGCAATGGTATATCATAATTCTTACCCAGTCACGCCAATAGCTAGTGTACTCGCTGTCTGTCTCGCTGACGAAGTCTTCCATTGAAAAGTCGATAGTCGGGGTTAGGGAGCTGGCACTGGTGGGGTAAGGCGGGGGTGAACGATTCACAAGCGTGGGAGACTGGATACTGGTGATAAATAGGTATCGCCTAAAGGTTAGAGGCTCAAGGCTGTCGGAAGATTTGGTATCAATGCGGATTAAGGAAGAAGGTGATAATATTCGAACTTTTGAAGAAGAATGTGTTTGCTGTTTCGAGGTATCATGTTTGCGAATCTAATGGGGATCTCAGGCTGAGCTTGTTGGTGGAGATTTCCTTCACTGGATGAGGAGGATGTTGGTGGGCCACAGTTGTTATCAGCTGACAGGATTAAGGACGTCTGACTCCATTGAACGTGTGAGTTTCCCAGCAACCTTCAATCTTATTATTATTGTATAACGAGGTATACTGCTACTTGTGTATCATTCGTCTAGTCGTCTGTTAATACTACCTACAAAGAAGATTCTATGGGAGATGTCTCCCCTTTGAGTCTGGAAGGCTGAAAATGGTCGCTTGATCAACATTTAAAGTGACTCAAAGCTATCACGCCCTCCATGGTTCACAAGCTGGCCGTGTAACAACCCGACTGCTTCATGTAAGGTGGAACCGGACTCGTCCAACGCAGCTAGGAATCTGGCCAATTCTTTACAAAGTTCCCAATCTTGTTCCTTGATTGCCCGAGAAAAGAGGCGGACGGACTGTTCTGAAACCAGTTCAGATTCCTCTAGAGTATGAAGGATAAGCAGATACCCCCTGCTGTCTTTAAAGTCCCTCTTTGAAGTGACTCCTCAAATAGTTCTTGGACTGGGGGAGGTATTCAAATAGTGTCTTCCACTGTCTCGCCTCCGTTTTTCTTGTGCATTGTAGCACGATATCGAGATATTCCTTGAATGAGGAAAGTAGTGAGAGAACACGCGGTAATATGGCATCTTCGGGGGCCGGAGACGCGTCAGCCTCCTCATCCAAGACGTTATGAAGAAGGACTTCGAGGGCATGAGAGAAGTACTCCAGGTGTTGATACTGTTGAGCAATATGAATGGCCTCTGACTTCAGTCCCCGCATTAGACAATGTCGGAGAATATCTGACAAGAACAAATGAGTCTAAATGTGAATCAATCAGCACACCTTGGAATATGACACTGAGGCGTAGGGGAAAGCTTCGGAGTAGACGATGCACTTACCCGTATATTGAAACGGAAGAAAGAGAAACTGACATCGCGCCGCTGAATCAACTCTGACTCTACGCCCAGAATTATGGCTTTATCAAGAAGAATCGACAAGGGATAGAAGTCAGTTGGTATGTAAACTATCCCCGGCAACGCTTGCGAGTGTTCCATGGAGATGGAGTCCAACACAGCGTGGATATCGCCCCATACTTTTAGACCGTTACCATCAAATACCCAGAGGGAGTTGTGGAGACGAATGGGCGCACTTGCGGTTAGCTGTAAATGATTGTCACTTAATGGCTGTAACATCTTCGCCGAGAAAGGCTCATCACGCATATTTGCGTGGAATTCAACATTATGTGATATCACCCTCATGTCGTATTTTAAGTTTCCTTCTTCCGACATAGATGGTCGGAGCATGACCAATTTCCCATCAACGAGAAACAAGACGGAAGCAACGGTAACGTCCTGAGAAGGGTCACCTTCCGCAAGCTGGTGCTCCGGTAACACCCAAGTCAGTCCTCGTACCCTTGCCGGAGACCGCACAATTCCATGGAAGGCGATCTGGCCAACTTGAACCAGGCGCACAGATCCCGCAATAGGCGTGAGTATAAAGTGGTGGAGGATGTTGTCTTGAGTGTAAACAAGAATAGAATCCTCTTCACAGGAAGTTACTAGGACGATTGGCGCTGGGATACGTTCTATGTGAAGGGCGTGTGTGCTATCCAACAGTGCCTCCCTTGAGAAGAGACGAAGTTCGTGAGACTTGCTGGACTCCACAGCAGCAACAAGGATGTGCTGATGCCAGCACATCCCCCTTCACCTGAAATTCGTTCTCCTGAACATAGTCGGTAAAGGTTTTCCAACGCCCGCTGTTGACGCTGTAGTGAGCCAAGCCCCTCCGACCTGCAACGGCAATATACCTGCCGTCAGCAGAGATTACCGTGCACTTGATCGGCCACTGATTCAAAAGATAGAGTGAAGGTATTTTCACGGTGTGCCAGAGAAATGGCTCCGTTGATATGGTTGTTAGGTCTGGGAGATCGTACCCTCGGTATATGGAGACGCTGGTTGAGGTTTGAAGGACTGTTCTAAAGATGTTGGATGCCACGTAACAGCTTGATACAGCGCTCCGCGCCATCTCAAGGACCCAGATGGTATCGCTCGTTTTGCTGGTCATCAAAAGCTCCGTCGACCCGCCTATCCATCTTGCGCTGTTCACACCGGTAAGCCATCCATCTTCTGGGCTAGCAAGAGTAGAATTACCGAGACTGAAACTGTGGCTCCCTGTTTTCCCATAGACGCTCCAAGTCGCCCACCCTTTCTCAAATCCGGCGAAAAGGCAATAGCCGTCTGGCGAGTAAGAGAGTGTCGTTAATTTCCCAGTTAGAGAGCTCGAAATAGGCACGCTGTGTATGTGAGAAGCTGGTATATTCCCGGAGTAGTCCTTCGCAGTGAACACCCTGACTACGCCATCCTCGCAGCCTACTGCTATGAGGGAGAACCGTGCATTGATGATTGCTCGGAGAGCGCCCCTACTAGGATTTTCCGGCTCATAGAAACAATGACCCTTGAATAGCCGTTTTGCTTCAGGCTCGTCCGAATTGCTCGTGGCCCGGTTAGAATAACGCTGAACCGCATAGGCCCGGCCATCTGCCGTCACCCACGCCATGAGGCCCATAGGTCGGTCATAGGTCATCTTCACTATGCTCGTCTTCTTGTCTAACCAGTGCATGCGACTCAGGATCTCAGTTCGGGTCTGCTTCCCTGTGGTATCGGGAGACCACCGGATACACTGGACTGCTGCAGGCTTGGAAGTGGCTACGACGAGTTCATCATCCAATGCAAGGGCGCCCTGAATCCCAGCATCGACCTTAATTACCATTCTGAAGCGGACGCTTGTATCACCAACACACACCCCTTCCCCTGCGCCCCAAAGGATCTGGTCCGAGGCTTGGGCCCCAAAGGATCCTGCATGGCTTTGGCGGCGTCTTTGTATGTTATGATAATCTGGGAAGTGCGGCCGATAGACTCGAGCATCCGGGTCGGTGGCTACCGAATAGGTGATGAGGTAGCCTAAGGTGGTGTGGATGACGATGATGGCGTTGTCAGGGCGAAGCAATAATCCGATGTTCTCCCCGTAGGTGGTGAGTGAGGCCTCCGAGCGAAGTACTGTAGCAAGGACCACTGTTGGCTGTAGAAGGAAGAGTGTAAGCTTGTGTGCTTGAGAGATCATAGATAGAGGTACTGGACCTTCGTCTGCCAGATTGTCATAGTAGTGGCAGTAATTACAGCGAAAATGTGGCCACTGCGCGAGATGCGAAGTGCTCTTATAGGCTCCTTTGTGGAGACAGCGTCAGGAGTAGCCGGGGTTTCACGATGTAGACGCTCTGTGGTTGATCTCACATCTTCATATTGGATAGGGTGGACAGCGGGGGTGAGGGGAGTGATAGGTGTTTGTGGAAGGGCATTCTCAACAAAGCCGAGTTGCGACTCAGGTAGTTCTAGCGTTGTCGTATTGTCGGTATTTGAGGGTAGGTCAGGACTGATATCGATAGAAACCGCGGCGACATTGTTGGTTATAGCGAAAGCTTTTGGCGTTCCTATCGGCCAGTACATCGTAGCGGTACCCAGATTCTAGGGCGGCGGCTGTTCGGGCAGCCTAGCAGGTGCAAGACGGACGTGTAGGATACCGCACGGCTGTCAGGCGCTTACCAGCATAAATGTTGGGCATTTGTCGGCATTGCACTGTTGAAGAAGGTAATGGTACTAGTCGGTGTCATCCAGAGCAAGCAGAAGGGAGGTACGGCTAGGTCGCGGATCTAGCAATCTTTGGTTCCTGGATGGATGAAGTTAATTAAAGTGCTTACACCTTCAGGGGCACCTGCACGAAGGCTCTTTTTGCATTATTCAATTGAGGCGGGTGTTGAATGAAATGTTCGAATATTGGATACCATGGGTTGTTGATTGAGCGTAGTTTCCGCGGTGCATATTGCGTGTCGTCCCAAGGCTGACAAAGCAATATTGAAGGGACTCGGGGGTTGAGTGAGAGCTGGAATCGTACATGTTAATCTTTCTTTCAACCCTTGAAGAGCAGAACAACCTTAATTTTTCCAATTCTCAAAGCGAGGTCGTAGGCAAGAGCATTCCTCCCCCAGTCATATCGACCGTGGCTTTTAAAAATAAATAAAGGAAAACCCTGGTATCTCCGGAATTGGGACCAATGCTTTTGCCATCCTCAAGCTCACCCGCGCCACTAGTTCAGTAGTCATAACCTTGTCCATCTTCTAGCCCCTACCCCATTTCCATCTTTTGGTTCCAGAACACAACGTCTTGAGTCAACCCACAACTTTAGGAGGCTTCCTCTCTCCCTTTCTTTCCGCCTTTTCCTCTCGCGATAGCGACGGGAAAGATACTAGCGATGGCACCGTCGCTGCGGCCCCGTCAGAGTCTTTCAAAAGATAAGTTCTCGACGCACTTTGGCGCACTGAAAAGTACAATTTATCATGACCCTAGCATTGCAAGGGGGACGGGTGCTATGTCCTATAGGTAGTGCTCTCCACAACGTAACCATAGAGGGTCCCCGATCTGATCATCAAATCTAGCCTGCGATCAATATCATGGAACCCATTGGGAACCCTGGTCGCTACTGGAGCGGCTGACAAAACCCTGCGAGTTTGTAAGTTTTGTACTATTTGTAAGAACGGGCGGAGGTTCTTATAGATATAAGGTCAAAAATGACCCTTGCTTCAATCCCAAAGCATCTGCTAAGACTCTTTATCAATATAGGGAACCCAGAGAAACCAAACAGTCGGTTTTCTACTGATCTCAAAGGCCATTCAGCACCTATCGAAAAAGTGGCCTTCAACCCTGTTAAAGATGCAGAGCTCTGTAGTGTAAGCAGTGATGGCGTTGTTAAATTCTGGGATGTTAGAACCAAGAATTGTGTCAATGAAGTCAGGGGCTTAGGTGATGCTTTCACGTTGGCATGGGCGCCGAATGGTGACACCCTTCTCGTTGGGAATAAGGCAAGTTGCACTATCTTCTATATCCACCATCCTAATAAGATAACCAAGGTGGCTATGGTAAATCTTTGTACCTTGGCATCATCCTCAGGGGGCATCAATAGGCACTAAGAGCAGGTTACTTTCTAACTATGCTCTAAGGCTGAACAGACTGACAATTTATTTATTCTCTCGCCAACCTCTAATACTCCCCTATTGTCTCATCAGCAACAGACTCAAACTAACCAAGTATCGTTCTGCTGGAGTGGTCAGAAAGTATTCCTCACCACCGGGGAGGGCAAGACCCGGATCTTGTCTTATCCCACTCTTGATCCGGTTTTGACCTTGGGCTATCATGATGAGCCTGAATCCGAGTTTATGCTTCATGGCCATACATCTTCCTGCCTCACTGCAGAGCTTCAACCAACTGGACGATACCTCGCCACTGGGGGTCTGACTCTGTTATCGCGCTTTGGGACACTACAGACTGGATCTGTCAGAGAACGATTGCTAGCATGGCTGGTCCAGTGCGGAGTATTAGTAGGAGCAATGTCATCTTCAAGCGGCAACTCTGGACCTTTGGTGGCTAACTGAGAGCATTTAGGTTTCACATTTGATGGCAGCTATCTCGTTGGCGGTAGTGATGAAGGTACCTTGAATTAGCGAGTGCCATCTGTCCATGACTTGACATAGGACTAATCGTGACTAGGATCCGGTTTGGAGATATGCCATGCCGAAACGGGGGATCTTGTTCATAGCTACAAGACCGCTGGGCCATGCCCTATTGTTTCGTGGGCTCCAACGAGATACTGCTTGGCGTACAGCGACATGGGCGCTTTGCGCATAGTTGGAGTTGATTCAGACCGCAGATGATGAATCGAATTTTGTCCCAAGCGAGTCTCCATTCCGATGTGTCCCTCCCTACTTACATCTGACGCCAACCTGCTCTGTAGCATAGAAAGACAGTACGTGGGGATCTTGACCTGGACCAGAAGCTGAGAAGACTGGATGACATCTCCTGGGCATTTTAAAATTCTCGAAATCTAATATGACGCTCTTGACCTCTGTACCGTCTGTACTAAGGTAGCTTTTTCATAAATAGAATTATGCATTCTGTGCTGCGAGGAGACAAATGTGGAGCCTACCGTTTGTGGGCTAGGTAACTATTTATATCTTGAAAAGAGCAGGGATCAAACTGCGCTGCCTTGAACAATAGCCTTCAATTTCCATAGCTCAAGTCGGTGTCACTCCTCATGATGTGCCAAGGTGCTAGGTGCTTGTGTGGTTCCCAAGGTCGCTGGCCACAGAGCACTTTGGCATTCAACTCAGCTTGTATTAAATAAGGAACAAGATGAATTGCACGAAGTACCTGCGATGTGGTATCGAAGTACAATCACTTCCAATTCTGGACGGTTGTACCCCGTATTTCTCGGGTTCATGGGGCTGTGTATGATGGATTAATTGATTGGTGAGCTAGATGTCCAAGGCTTGGGCGAAATCAATCCCTTGGTTAGTCAATTCAGTTTCTTCGAGCCATCACCCTTCTCTTCCCAAGTGGGAGGATGAAAGTGCGAAGGAGAGGAGACCTGCTCGGCGCGAAGAACCCTCCCCCTCCCCTTCCTTATGTGATATATCGAAATGAAAACTGTTTATGTTATTTTTATTTTATCTTATTTTAGTACGATAATAAGAAGACTGAGGGGAGTGAGGAATTCAGCGCCGGCTTGGACGCTGGAACGGACGGTCCACTGATTGCCCAAATGTGATGGGGCTGTACCTTGTGCGAAGTATTTTGTACTCAATCCAATGGATCCATGGATGATCCATCCATCAATTGAATGTGCATGCCCACTACTTGCCCACTCTAACACTGTGTCGACGGGACATGGGTCCCTTACACGTACTGTCCATGAAGCCCATCAGCCAAGCTACTAGGACCCGCGACCCCCTCACATCAGGACTGAAGTCGAATTGTCAACCTTTGACTCCATTTCTTCCTGCATTAAACACCAGAGGCAGCTGACGACAAATACATCGATATATTGTACCCCAACCGACATCTCGCGATTAAGCTCAAGAAGGAAACCACATCATCGTCTTCCTTGTCACCAACACATTGTTTGACTCCTGCATTGCGCTGGCACCATAACCAAGGACGCCCATCAGCCTCGTTGGCCTTTGCGCAAGGCTATCCTGTTTTCTTAGTCGACGGTAGCCAGGCGCGCGAATTGCATGGCTACCGCGTTGCAGTCTATTACCTTTAGACTCCTAGAGCGACTCTTTTCTCAAACATAGGCTCCTCTGGGCGACTACTCAACACTTACCCAGCAAGCCCTTTGCCCACTCCGCTATCCGGTTTTGCATCTGCCACTACAACTCGCGATTGATCACCCAAATTCATCTGTCTGGTGGCCATGTCCTCAAGCACCGCGACTCCTCCCGAAAATGATATTGGCGAGGCTGGAGCGCCTTCTCAACAGCGGCCTCGTAGTCCCAACTCTGACGGGGGACCTCGCGAACCTACAGATAACTCCAGCGTCCCGAAACCCAAGCGTCTCGCTTGTATGATATGCCGAAAGAGGAAACTAAAGTGTGATGGGGTGCGGCCAAGTTGTAGCACGTGCTCGCGACTCGGCCACTCCTGTGCGTATGACGAGGTGCGCAGAAAGAGTGGTCCGAAGCGTGGCTATGTGAAGGCCCTGGAGGAGAGGCTAAGTAAGCTCGTACAGCATCGCCTAGGAGTGTTATGCGTTCTACGTGCTGACATATTACAACAGAACAGGTAGAGACTCTTCTAAAGACGCAGGAGCCGGCCGCGTCTCTCTCCGGCCCCTCTAAACCTCGGCCGGTTCCCTTGGAAAACGGGATCCGGCGGCCCCAGCCTTCCGGAGGGGCTGCCCCAAATTTCGCCTCAGCTAATCCGCCTGTCCCATTGACGAACGATTGCGATATGGAACGTTGGCAGTTCAGTGGCGAATCTCCACAAACGGCGACCGTGGACGAATTCAACTTCAATAGTGCCGTACCCATTGGTATGAGCAATATGAATGGAAATTTCACCTGGGAGATGATTGGTTTAGGTCTTGAGGAACCCCTTCCCACTCAGGACACAATTGATGAGTTGTAGGTGACATATGTCCCGATCTTTATTATGGCGCATCGGACAGCGTTTGGCGCTCTGAAGTTCGGCTTCAAGGTGCCCAAGACAATGTGAACAAAAGAGATGGAAGAACGACAAGAGCCCGTTTAACCCATAATGATTGCTAACCCATCATCCACTACTCAGGCACCAAATATATTTCGAGAAGATACACCCATCAGTGCCTATGATACACAAGTATCGATATCTTGCAGCCATGAATTTGTATGTGAGCCGGGACACCCGCTCGCAAGGCACCAGCCCAGCTCTGCCATCCGCTAACCTAATTCAGAGCACCGAATCAACGCCCCCAGTCGCGTTGAGATATGCAATATGGACACTGGCTTGCTCTATCACTGACAAGTATGGCGATCTGAAGGACCTGTTTTATCAACGAGCAAGGAAGTACGTCGAGGCCGACTATATTAAAGGCTATGGCGAGCACATGATCTCTGTTGCACATTGCCAAACGCATGTCCTTCTAGCGTCTTATGAGCTGAAGATGATGTATTTTCCAAGGGCTTGGATGAATACTGGTGCAGCAGTTAGACTCTGCCAAATGTAAGAGATGCCTAATCCCCCATCCCAGGCCCCGGCAATGTCTCCAACATAGACCCTCTCCTCCAACTCTAATATTACACAACCTTTATTATGCTGACCAACCTTTTCTCCCACCTAACAGGGTTGGGCTCCACAGGCTCGATGGCGCCGGCCTCGATGTGAAGCAGTGTTTGCCACCCCCAAGAGATTGGACTGAGCGGGAGGAGCGGAGACGGACTTTTGGATGGCTTTCTGTGAAGACCGGTACGCGAGTATCGGGACCGGGTGGCCAATGGCTATCGATGAACGCGACATTATGACCAATCTCCCTGCCTCGGACGATTCTTTTGAGATGAGCCGCCCCGAACAGACTCAGTCACTCCAAGACGCCATGAGCCCTTCCGGTGCCACAAAGCTCTCCTCCTTCGGGAGCATAGTTCTCATGGCCAGCCTTTTTGGAAGAAACCTCATTCACCTTCATAGACCGGACCCAGACGATCGCGATCATGATCTCAACGGCGAATTTTGGAAACGGCATCGGCAAATGGACCACATTCTTTTGAATACTTCGCTCTGCCTCCCACTACAACTAAAGCTACCAGCAGGCATGAGCAATCCCAATATCGTATTTACCAATATGAGTATACATACGTCAACGATATGTCTACACCAAGCCGCCATCTTCAAGGCCGACAAACACAAACTGCCCGGCTCCGTGAGCTCCGAAAGCAAAGTGAGATGTATCACTGCAGCGAATGAAATTGCTAGTATCATGCGAATGATATCACACACAGATCTTACTTCAGTAAGCTACGGTTTATTTCCCGAGGCTGAACACCATTCTCTAACCACTTGAAACATTGATAGATCAACCCATTCGTGTGTTTCTGCCTTTACGTTGCGGCTCGCGTCTTCGTCCAGTACCTGAAGAGCCGACCGGACGACAGTCAAACGGCCGATTCTCTTCGGTTCCTTCTTGCAGCTATGAATGCATTGAAGCGTAGAAATCCTCTGACCGAATCCTTCTTGGTGCAACTTGACGTTGACCTGGAAGCGCTCGCCATCAGAATACCGAAGCTCAAAGCTGCTTTCCCGCGCAGCACCGATAGCGTAAGTAACATTTTCTTCACTTCATGAGCGCGGGGTGCCCTTTCCCCGACCTCACAGACCTGCACAGCTATTTCGGCCGCGGAATTGCATTTAATTAACCTCTGTTCGTATAGCCTGGGCCAAAGTTTTCAGCGCCTAGTGCGGAAGCTGTGCGGAATTGTGAGAATCCAGACGGGGTCGGCGGTATCATGGCGTATAGAAATGAGTGTCACTTCTTAAGGGCTGGCGAGGACAACGCAGATCCTCGAAACGCGCCCAACCTTGTTGAGCCCGAGAACGAGACGCAAAGTGGGGCCGCTTTGGGCCGTGAAGACCAAAACTTCGGCAATCAACCTTGGATTCCAGACCAGCAGATAAGCGCATCCAGAGGGTCTAATCCTGCCCAAGGAATGCCAATGCAAGGGATATCGGTGATTGGGCCAGTCCCAACCCCCATCTTTGAGAAATCGCCCCTGGCCCAGCGCCCCTAAGCTCCTTCGTATCCGCCGATAGCAACGGTGAATCGAACGACCTTTCAACATCACCAGGAGGGCAATCCGGCGGTGGTCCAACTCCGAACTCGAGTACTGCATCCGATCAGAAAGGGCGCACGCGGCCGCAAATCAGCGGTTCCGTGAGTGCCTCCTTCGAAACTAGCCCTGCACCTGCACACCGGACTATATCCACACAACCAGGGGTGGATGGCACTCAGCCAAATTTCTATAACACGCCAGACGCATTCGGTATTTCCACCCCAGGAATCCCACCAACTCAGAGATATTCAGTTCCACAGGCGTCTATGACGGATTTCAACATACCCAATGGCTGGAATGAAATGGCCCATCAAAGTGGCATGGAACCTGTCGCAGATGGCGTTCTGCGTTCCTTGATGAACATGGGGCCTATGGATGCAATGGACCTCTCATCGTGGGAGTCGGGGAACTAATTCGCCCGCCTTGTGCTAGTTACACTTGTATATACCCAGCCACTCGTGAGGCTACTTCTAGAAACTCTGATCTGATACATTAACCCCGCGAATCCTTTTAATCATACTCCTATCATCTACCTACTCTTTACGGCTGTTCTCCAAACACTGGCGCAGGTGGGCGGCCATGTATCATCTATTCCTTTATTCTTGACCCGGAATACTTACGGAAACCTTTATATGACGGGTGTGATGTGACTGCTACCCGAATTTTCGGCAGTGGCGTTGATTAAAATAGCACACGCTAAGCCATTCTCGAGAGGATATACAATTCACCCTGGGGCAAGGGAAGAACCAATGCGAAAGCAAGATGGGGTTTTTCCACCTTTCATTTTCCTCCCTGTTACCGCAACTTACGACGACGGTTTAAGGCTTGACCGCCGTCCTCATCAATATGGTGCCATGGCAGGTCGTTCTTGCACCCTTTTGAGATATGCGTCATGATTCTCCAAAGTCAAGAAGAAGGAAGAGATATTAAGGGTTTCAACGAGTTATGAGTCAAGAGACCCCAAGTAGCAATGGAAACAAGGAGTCGGGGTGCGTGAATGGGACGGACACAGAATACAATGTTGGTCAAGGACAAGAGCTGGTGGCCCTGCTATCACGAACCCTCATCTCCGCTCCGTGATGTGCCTGCCTTTGCTTTCGTCTCCGGAGAAGGTCCTCCCATTTCCCCTCACCGTGAGGATTTCGCCTGCAAGCTTTGCCTTTGCCGTCCCTCGCCTAAGTCCTCGAGGGTTTTTGATTCTAAGTATCGCCTACCGTCGTCTCCCACCCCCACCTTTGAGGGTCAGGCAGGTAGGCCCACGAAAAATGGCACCAATGGCGACAAACGAACCAAACAAGAGGAAGATAAGACCTTGCCTAGTAGAGCTTGAGTACCATGAGTTGATGCCGTATACTATGAGAACGGCGATGATGCTACCCAGTTTGCCGGCCGCCGCCGAGATGCCATGACAAGTGCCGCGGTAACAAGTTGGGAATATCTCGGCGGGTATTATGAAAGTCAATGTATTCGCTCCTTCAAGTGATTTTCGGATTAGCTATAGAACTAGGAGCATGTCCGGCGAAGGCTAAGGGTGAGGCTTGACAAAAGGAGAGGGGAAAAGAGAGAGTCATGGTGTTGGGAAGAAATCTACATGTACTTACCAAAGTTGAACATGAAGTGGCAGAAGGCCACGAAGGCGACAGTAGCTGGTGCTCCAGGCCGTCTATTCACCCCGTAGTAAACACACCCCGTGACGACGAATAGGACTGCGAGGACGAAAAACGAGACTGTGAGCCAAAGCCGTCTAGGGATCCGATTTACGAAAATGACAAAGGCAAGACTCCCCGCGACGGATGCGACAGACACGGTTAAGAGATATTGCTTGGCTTGCTCGAGAAGCACATCGTAGATGGTGTTACAAGGAAGGGTTGAGTCCGTCTGCCAGATCGGAAGGCCGTGCTCTCTCCAATAGGGAAGGCTGGAGTTTCCACCAGGGAGGGACGAGTTCCAGCACGGCAACGATTCATCCAGCTCCAAGGGCCGAGTTGTTGCCCACATATCAGACAAGGTTCCCCTATTATCGAGGGATAAGCCATAAAATGAGACATCAAGAAGAAACCATGTTGCCGAGGTGCCTAGATCACCGATTGTTAGAGTTGGAAACTGGCCTCAGCTGTTGAGCGGGGTGGGGTCTGCGAAGCAGGAAAAGAAAAAAAAAAAGAAAAAAAAAGAAAAAGGAAAAGAAAAACCCCGGAACCTCTGCGGGATCGCTCTCGTCCAACATACCGAGGAGATAGTACCAGTTTCCCTCCGTGATCAAGTACTTGTATAGATCCTGTTTGGAAAACTGCAGAGGCATGGGTTGCGAACCGCCAGTTTGACGGGAGCCGTAAACTTCCCCATGCGTGTTCATGGCAAAGCCATTAACGCTCTCCGGGGAGCTCCATATACTCTTTGCGTGTTCTTGAGCGCCATGCCTGCCTTGTTCTTGACTTCTAAGCTGTAAAGGCCGCAGTCGTAGAGGAAAAAGCGGAAGATTATAGCAAGTAGCGCAGGAGCCGCGCCAGACCCGATAACTATGCGCCAGATTCCATCCACGATCCTCTTGCATTCATCCTCGTACTTTGTGTTCAAGCCGCATTGCATCGCTTGAAGGCCATACATCTTTTCGCGACCAAGAAGAACCCATAGACCAACGAGCTGGGCGAGAGCCTGCCCGACAGGCTGCATCATGAAAACAGAGGAGAGCATTCTGCCCCTAGACTTCGTGCTTGACCATTCCGAAGTGATCACAGCGCTGAGCGGATATTCACCGCCGATACCTATCAATCAGTCCCGAGTTAGAGTAAGGCTACAAAAAGCGGAAAGGCCACTGATCCCAATTGATGTGCGGTGGATAGACCGCCGCCTGCTTACCTATGCCCATAACGAATCGCCACTTCAAGTTAAAGTTAGTATATTTCTCGCACGCTTCTTGTATTTCCTTCGTTCGAACGCGCGCAACTGAAAATAACTCACCCAGGAGAAAAGAGCTAAAAGGACATGTCTTGATAGCCATAGCTGCTTGTGGCCACCCCGATGGTGGAGACAATGACCAGAACCAATTCAATGCCGTAAAGCCGAGTGCGGCCGTAATAATCGGCAAGGAAACCGAACAAGAACTGGCCTATGACAGAGCCGATGAGGGTGCAGAGGTTGATAATCAGACTATGCCATCTTCCCCATCTGGCCAATACACGAATGCGATAGAAGCGAAAATGACGTTAGTCGAAAAGAGGTTATAGCTTTAGGGATTGCAAATCGCAGTGAGGGCCGAGGGGTTAGTAAAAGGAAAGTTTGAAGATTCGATGCGGATGTGTTCACGTACGAATCGGTGAGAAAGCCGGAAGCTGCAACACCCCAGATACGCAGGTTCCATGAATTTAGGTCAAGTTCGTATCTTAACTGGCTCCTATCCTATGAGAAGGCGCGAGCGACCGGTAAGCTCGAGAAGGGCCACTTGAAGGTACAGGGCGTAAGCGGGACACGACCGCGCGAAAGCTACCATCCTTCTTTCTTACCTGAAGATCTTGCGGTGGAAGAGCCGAACTGTCAGACCCTAGAAATCCCCGATTGTTCCGCCTGGTCAAGTCCATGAGATGAAAAAGGAATATAAAACTCCCGCGGCTCGCTTATCGAGAGCCTGGGAGCTTAAGACTCAGGGGATGTAACCTCCCGCCACCAATGTGCCCCTTATTGTTGAATAGAATAGACAATCGTGCGAGGAGTTGTTGAAGTGGAAAGAGGCTGAATAGGGATGGTGAAGCAGGAAGGGAAATGGTTGAAGTAGGAGGCCCGCATAAGTTTGGCGACTCACGCTCGGGTAATAGTCGAGAGGCGAACGAAGAAGTGTAGGAGAGGCGATGGGAGTGCATTGTTGTAGTTCTCCCACAGGTACTAGCGTAAAGACGAAAGAGCCCAGAGCTGGGGGAAAAGTAGGGTAGGGAAAATGCGAACGAACCAGGGTATTGCGTCGCTGTGGTTTTTCTTTGGGGGCCGGAGGGAAGAGGGGCCAGCCAGCAGAAGAGCCAGGAGCACTTATCGACAAGGATAGCAGCAGGAAAGCCCGTCTTGGTTTTCGCTAGTGGCTCGGCGCTGAGATTTGGGATTGACCATGTGCGGGAGTCCTTTGATCAATGTGCGATGCACGATGGATGGTTGATGACCAACCTGGAGGTTCAAGCTTGATAACCGCACGGGTGGGGGAGTGTAGTGGGTGAGATGGGGTTGCCTCGTCTCCAAGAACTAGCTCAGCGCGCGGTTGGAACTAGGAGTGTCGGTGCAAGTTAAATTCGATTGACCGCGAGATGGGGACAACAAAGTGGCCTCGGGCTGAAGCGTTGACTCTTGAAGCCCACACTTTGCTCCTTTGTATACTACAAATTTTGTGAATGAATGTTCTTGCCTGGCTCTGATATTGAATATGGTGGGGCTTGTGGGCGCCTGGGCCATGATAAGTGAGTTTTCGAGGATCTTGTTGCACCGTTATCGTTCACCAACTATCAAAATGGATACTTCATCTGTTTGACTTCCTTTCCGATACAATTGATGGATCCATCCATGTAATAATGGGGCCCCTACAAGTACTAGCAAGGGGAACAGACGACGGGTGCCAGTCAGTCTCTCAGCAGGGTGGAACAAAGCAATGGTATTTTTCAACTCGAGCTGGGTCGAATTCGACCTACGAGCGGCCAACATGTGCCAAATCAAAAGCTTTATTCGACGCCCAGGTAAACATGGTTGTTTTGGCCCAAGAGGAAGACGACTGGGCGAGAGAGCAACGATGTTGGCGGCATGAGCCGTCGTCGTCGCACTTGAGGAGTGGAGAAGTGCTCCAACTGAGGCGGCGCGATTCCCTTTCTGGTTTGTGGCGCGGTGCCTAGCGGAGACGAGCGAGTGGGAATGCTTGTTTCAACCTCGTGGCAACAGAGCTCGCTCTGAGTGGCCGCGTTGTTGTGGAGGCGACTGGAAGCCAACGGTGGGGAGTGTGTGGGGGTAGACATGGGCTGCGCCTCGAGCGTGTTGCCGTGGACTCAGCGCCATCTGGTGGATGGATGCTTGGCTCTTTCCCCACTGAGATCAATTTGATCTTGTTGACCACCTTTGGGTATTGCGTTGGTGTTCTGATCACATTCAGCACTAGCTTTGAGTGAGGAGCATTTGGCAGAGTTCTACTTTTGATTCCAACGTAGATATACTCTTGGTGGAGATTGATCACGTATCGTACGTACAGTACACTCTTTGATCTCGGTACCCGCCCCTTTACCTTGGTAGATCCATTCCCGTCCCCATCAATCAGAATCCCTAGCCTACACGTCTTCCAGTCTGCGAGTATGGCAGCCTCCGAGATCCAGGGCTGATTCACCACATCGCTGGATTCCGATGGCCGGACTTGGCGTTAACCCAGATCCCCATCCACTATCTATAGTATTCTCATCGTTCAAAATAGGAAGACGGAGAACTCCAGGCGGGGCGTCGCTCCCCTCAAGACCGTAGCTAAAGTGGGTATCTCGTAGATGCGCGCCTCTCAACTTGGGATGGAGCTACATCCTAGGCCGAATTTTCTTTGCTGGGTTTCTGTTTCCCTCTCGTTCTCTTTCCCATTTTTCCCATTTTTCCCTACCCCCATTTTTCTTCATATCACCTCTGCCCCGCGACTCCAAGATATATGCTATGGGCGCCACAAGCGGGGATCTATAGATACCGCTTACGCACACTACCCTATCACCATATGATCGAGGACTGCCTCGGTAGATGCCACCAGCTGAGACCCGCGACTCTACCGCCGCTGCCTCTCCCGAAAGCTCACCTTGCGCATGTTGACGATCCCTCGTGCGTCTAAGTGCCCCTCCTGTACGCACGCTGTCGGTTTTGTGGCCCAAAAACATTCGCAGTGACCCCAATTCCTCGTCACACAAGGTGTGCGGCGCATGCTACTCCGCGGCCATTGGGGACGGACCAACGTTTGAACCATGGCTGCTGCACTCCGGATCTTAACCTACCCTTCCAGAAGCAATCTTGGGCTCTTTCGCCACGAGCATCCCACGACCTTGTATTCCAAGAATTTTCTCCTTTTTGGGCTCGAAGCTATACATAGCAACATACTTCAAGGGTTATTCCCGTGCGTTTCGTTCCTTCAGAGCTGTCGCGAATGCAGCCGGCTCCGCCCCCTGCCGTTGTCCAGCGCCTAGATCTACTCTCGCTCTCGCCGTGGAAGCAAACGGTTTTTTCCGCTCCCCAAGGCTTGCCAACCATTCCAGGCGGGTTACGCCGTTCAAACCAGCCGATTCTGCAAGGCTGTCTTGTTCCCTTTGACCAAAAACTCACGAGTCGCTATGCCCTGTTCACATCCTCGTCAAATCACGATTGATTTGCCTCGGCGCCCCCAGAATAGAAGGCCCAAAGCCAGGCCAGGCGGGGGATAGTAGGCCCTTGGTCCTGGCAAAACAACCCCTTGCGCAATATGGCTGGCTCGTCGTCCTCATCTTCCTCCTTTGCAGCTTCGACCCAGAGCCGCACACCCTCCAACCCCCAGCCATACGTCAGCCCGCTGGACTCAACGTGGACTCCGACATCTGGGACCTCTGGTGCTTCTGGTATATCTGCACCTAGCTCTCAGGGCTCCTCTCTCCCGGCGTCACAGCTCGCACCCCTCGATCTGGGCCCCCGGGATACGAAGCCATTATGTAGGAACCCACCCGTCACCCTCTGTGCTTGGTCCCTAGCTGGCCCCTGGACAAATTTTAATGCTAATGTGTCGCCCTTCTACGATTAGAACTCTTTACGAGAATACCTCAAAAGAAAAAACCGTGTATCTTGGCCCGTGGGAAATCGTCGGCTCGCACGAGCGCCGAGTGACCTGGCAATGCACTTATAGAAACGAACTTTTAGAGCATTTCGGTATGTAAGGCCGTGTTCTCTTTGGCAAATGATGTACACAGGCGCATCTACGCGTCCACGCTGAGCCCTAAACTCACCACGCCGAGCTGACTCGATCCGGGAATAGTACCGATGGAAGACATTTATCCTCATACCCTTCACGCTCGCCACAGGCCATATACCGACGCAGCAGATATCGAGCGTTTCCTCACTTTTCGCGTCCCACATCGCATTCGGTATACGGGTGAAGACGGGACAGTATCATTCGATGGAATAATGCAGGTCAAATATGAATTTACTAGTGTCGATAGCTCAGTTCGCTTTCAAGGCGACGTGCGGGGCAAGGCTTTTCTCGATTATTATGATGTTGACGTCGTCTGGTCTGATACCAACAACCGCACCGACCGTTTCGGGAATATCAGGGGCATGGGACTTGTTCAACGAGTCAAACTCTGGCGTGACAACTACTCAAATCTTCACTCCATAACAGTCTTCGCAAACCGATCCTCAAGGCGCTATCATGAGTACGATGTACATTGGTTCGAGGCTGAGCCTAAATCAAAGGATGATCGTGCTAAGCAGTTAAGACTGACGGTCAGAGGCCGCCGTGGAAGTACCTCTGACCTTGGAAGGCGGTTTTCGTTCAATCGCATACGGCCGCGCCAGAGGTCTGTACCTGGATCTGGGCCTGTCGAATCTCCACCCACTGCTGCTGTCAGCTTGGAGATCAAGTATCTTGGACTACAGTTTAGTCACCGAGACGGTAAGTTTGTCGATGCCCTCTAGAGTTCCCCTGCAGCGAGAAATTATAGCTCGGACTAGCAACTCTTGGGCGCTCGCCCTTATCAGTTGCGCCGTTCGTTTTCTGGTATCGGCGCAACGCCCTACCCCCGCGGGCATGCTTTCGCGATGCTGACATTTCCCAAACCGCGAAACCATTAGATTATCGTCGATTTCTTGAAGCTTGGATCTATGCACATGATTCGGATAGCGAATTCCAGGGGGTACCATTTCCTCAGCACCACATTGAACTTGAATCCCCTCAGATTCTTCCTTTACCATCCGAGCTCAGTGGTAGCCTTCAACCCGTTCTTGAGCCAGATTCTGATGGAGACAGTCATCGCGGAAGATGATACAAAGAGCATGAGTAGTATAGATGGTCTCGCACATTTTCTCTCATGGGGGGGTTAGAGCTGGGCCGGAGTTTACGCCTCAATGTTGGGGAGTGTATCTCAGGGCAGGTGCAACCCGAAGATAAGGTCCTGGAAGAAAAGTCGACGGCTTCCGTCCCCTAACAGGCTCCTTAGGAGCTAGCGAGTGTCGTCTTGAAATACAACCCCACCCATACTCGCAATCCTAGCACCGGGAGCCTCTCCTAGCAGACCTCGGCGACGCAAGACCAACTTGAATGACGCATTTGCATCGACTTGGGAGTCAAGTGACCGGCTTAGTTCGCTCTTTATCAAAAGCAGTCTCAGGCAGTCTTGCCCCGGACAGATAAAGAGAGGATTCGATCAGCAGGTTATGTTGTCTTTTTCTATTTTTTTTAATACCTGACGCTAATGCTAATGGTGAGACCTCGACCTATTCAATCCTTTCCGGCATGTTGGACGGAGTGTCTTGCATACCCATCTAAACTAGACCTGGTCTTGGGGCGGACCGCGCCCTATTACCACCTCCCCGCCTCGCTCGGACAAGAACCGCAACTCCTAACATTTCTACGTAGGGGCGGCTCTATCCACTAACCTCATGTTCTAACACCTCGTTCCAATGGCCGCCACTCGCGCGGTTATCCAATTACGTCTTGCTTCTCCCAATTCGGCATGCGAACTTACCTCATGTACCTGAGGCGGGGTGGAAGATCACGTTGCTCCGGAAAGCAGTAGTCCCAAATGGCGGGAGGGACCCAATTGTCGCATGAGAGTCGAGCCACGAGGCCAGCGACTGACCCTGATAACGAGAATCTCAGGGCCATGTCAATCTAAACGACTTGAAAAACAATTCTTGAGTCCAGCCTATGTTGTCTAGTAATCGGATCAAAGATGGACGAAGGTGGTTTCGAGTAGGAAAGAATAACAAGAAAGAGAAGAAAGAACGGAATGAGACCGAACGGTGGGAAGGGCGCCTAATCCTGCAAACCCCGGGCTACGTCATTCCACAACTGTCAGTCGCATTTCGTGATGGAGCGGCTGGGGGAGGGCTACGCTGTGGGGTGTCCGTGTCGTATCCATTGTTTTTAACAGACCCCTCTTCCCCCAATACACCCCCTAGAGTTCCAATCCCGGGCCAATTCTCCCTTTGCCATTCCCGCGACAAACTTGACCCGAGAGCTTGAGACTTGCTCGCTATGAATGTCTTGGGCCGCAGCTGGGAAAGTTGGATTCCCCTCCTTAGTTCCTTCAATCATTCCCGTCCATTCTCATATCGTGAGCACCGCTTTGTCCAACTTACCTAGAGGTGCTTGGTGCCGCCTACATTTCGCAGCAAATTCCGCCTGCTCCTCCTGCCTTCTTCAGGCTTAGCCGTAGGATAACAGATATCTGGCACGCGTTTACGTGTATGGATCAACTGCTAGGCATCGGGAGACATCAAAACAATCACAGATGGATCATAGAGCGAATGGAGGGTTATTCCTTCAGCTATAGATTCCAAAGAAGTAAAATATAACAACGTCTTTGCTATTAGATTCCAAATCATCTTTACCTTGCCGCCTAAACCTTTTGACGCCGGGGAGCAAGAGAGAACAAGTTTGAACAAGCAAGATGTGGGTACATGTAGACCTTTTCTTTTGAAGAAAAAAGAAAGAAAAAGTAACCAACAACGCCATAAGTCCTGTTTAGAACGTCCCTCCCGATGAGAGAAGATCCTCGAATCCCAAAAGTTGCCCGCCCGTGATCTTTCGCGTGTCTAATATATATATCCTGAGGCAACCATCGCTTTTCTCCGGCAGATTCCCAACCCAAGAAAAAAATAAAAAATAAAAAATAAAAAATCCCAAAGCATAAAAAGAAAAAAGCAAACTCAACCCAAAGCAAAAGGCAAGAAAACTCCCGTGTGCTAGAACAGATACATAAGCCGAATCCAAGTAGGATCGGGTTCTGTGAGAATCGTGGACGTGTCTACAAGAGAGGATGGGAGGAGGAGAAGGTATGGTCGGTGGCGGTGGTGCTGCACAGTCTACACCAGAGTTCCGACATTTTTAGGCGCCCTCTTGACATGCGACAGCCATGGCCAACGCGTCGAGGCCGTTGCGAGGATTGGGACTTGTAACGTGCTGGCTCATTAAGGGTAGATTGAGCCCTCGCAAATCCCACACACCTGTGGCAGGCGAGGCCAGGGGCGTAGCGTGGGTTGGTGTCGGAGGTCCGTATTGTCCGTATTCTAGCGTCAGGTGGTCCCGTGGCCGGTGGCTCGAAGTTCGCGTAGAGATACCGAGCTTTCTTGTTGAAGACGATGAAGAGGAAGTCTTCCCGGCCCTCTGGGAGCTAGAAGCTCTGGATTTATCCTTGTAATGCGTTTCAAGATGCTGCTTCATATTGTCTGCCCGTGTAAACTTCTTCTGGCATCCGGGAAAGGTGCATTGCACCGCCTTTTCCGCAGTGTGGATTTTAGAATGCCGCGAAGCGTGACCCGAAGTCGTGAAAGTCTTCTCACATCCATGGCTATCGCGGTAGCGGCATGGATACCTCTTCGCCGATCGTTCCGGAACAGCAGGAGTAGAAGGGATATCATCCTCATACGAGGCCGATCGAGTAGACTCGGAGAACGAGCTATGCTTCCGGCTCACATCCGCACCATATTCCTCATATCCGGATTGTCCCGAGGCATAGAGATACTGACGAGAGTAATCGAAGGCTACTGACGGTGTAAGTGGGGATAATGGGTCGTTGCTTGGGCTGATGGAGTCGTAGGAATCGGATCGCAGGAGCTCCGGCGTGTGTGGCGATGATGAACTACTCCTTGAAGAAGCATAATGCTGGCTTAAGTGCTGGCTAGAAGTGCGGCGGTGGGGTCGGAGAGACGAAGAGTTGTAGTAGGAATCATAAACAGGCTCATCATTCAACAGCGAAACTCGCCGTCCAGAAGCGTCTCGGGCATGCATAGTAATAGTGGTGTGAAAAAGAAAGCCGAGTATTGAAAGATAGTCCGGATATGGCGTGAACAGTTACGCTCAAAAGCCTGTCTTGTCTAACTGATAGGAACGGTCTAGGTGCAAAATAAGAATGGAGTTTGGGGCGACTATCTGGGGTCGGGGAACCGCCCAAGAATATCGTTTAATGGTGCGAATTTCGTGAGCCTTGCTAAATCAATTGAGCACTGGGCTAGCCAGAGTGGGGGATTCCAAGTTAAGCTGGTGATTGAAAGGGAGGCGCAAAGTGACGTTGTTGCTCGAGACGAGATCAACTCAGGTAAAAGCGGCAGTGGTGCAAGCAGGTAGATATAAACCAGTGCAGGCAAATGCGGGGTGGTGCCTGGTCGGAAGGTTGTAATGGCAAGGAGGAGAAGAAAGCGAAGGCTAAATAGACTTGCAAGAAAATAAAAGGAGAAAAACGAGATGTTCTAAACAGAAAAAAGCTTTGGAGAACGAGCGAGGGAGGGACTTTATGGGTCGTTTGCTTCGATGCGCTGGGCTGGTGGAAGAAGCTTGTGGTGGTTCAACGAGCAAAGGGGATACGAAGGGGTGGAAAGCTTTTAAGGACCACCCTCAACTGGCTACAAGATGTAGGAAGCTTTTTTTTTTCGGGAACAAGGGCAGAAGTGGGGTGGGGTGGGAGGACATGGGGCGTGAAGGGGTGTGTAAGGGCGTGCGGGTGGCATTATATGGAGGGTGTGCGTAACTAGAATAATAACACAGAGAGGACTTCATGTTAGGATGGGATCGGACCCATCATGAATTTGATGCCGGAAAAAGAATCGAATGGCTTTCTTGGACCCCTGCCAGGCTCTGTTGGAAGCATGGAGCTCTTGCACCTGCCGCATTGCTGTTCAAGAGAAGCACGAAGTACACCAAAGTACCGTGCCCGGATCTTTGTACGTACACCTATCAGGTACTTCAGGACCGATTGCTCAACTTCGAGAGCGATGGCAGTGGCCCTTGGTCGTGTTCTCAGGGCGGGGACTGCGGAAGCGTGCTGTTCCAGGTATTGGGCCGTGTCACTGCCTGCATCCTGGATCCATCCCTCCAGGGCTGTATCTCTTGGTGGATGTATTCGCAATGCCCAATCTTGCCAAGTAACATATCAATTGATCTCGACTAGAGATGCAGCAACATCTCTAGACCTTTCAACACAACGCCGCTGCCAGTAATCAATAGCTGTCATTGCCTGCGGGGACTCTCAAAAATTTCCCCTCCCTTTTCCCCTTTGCAACCCTTTCTATCTTGTCCTAATTCCTTTGTTATCTTACGCCCATGGTGAGAACGACCCAGCTATCTTCAGGAACCTAATTTATGGCGCGACTTCGAGCCTCGGGATTGAACCGTTCCCAAGGTCGGGAACCTACATTGGCTAAGATAGCGAGAGGTCCACTCTTTGATGACTCTGTCAGCAACCTCGCGGTTTGGTAAGGGCCAATTCTTACGGTGGGTACGTCGAAACAAACGGGGTACCTGGAGTCCGTGGTTCCCAAAGATGGTAAATTCAAGGAAGAACAAGTTGAGGGGAAAAGCGCCTGGAGCGGAACATCCTTCGAGGATGGGATTTTCGTCGAAAACTGGGGTTTGCCATGCATGAAACCTCGAACACCCATGGTTGGCGCTGTTGCAGGTCTCACCGGAGACCTGCGATGAAGACGGGGCGGACTCCGTTACCAAAGAACTCCGTGTCTCTCAAACAAAAGTTTTAAGGCCCCTGCTCCAGACTCCTCTCCGACAAGGACTGGAGCCTTCAGAGCTTCTCCACAGTTGGAAGGGTTGTATCAAGCGCATATGATATTATCGTATTACCAAAGCGGTTATGAAGCAAAGATCAGATCAGCACCCTCCTCTTCCCTACTCACCCGGGACAAAGGAGGGAGCTGGCGATAAAGTCACGGAGAGGCCGGTAGTGGCCAGTTTTGCGCCAGACGTCTCCAGTGTGGCCAAATTATTCCTGATAAATGGCCATGCTAGCACAGCATTCTTACAATGGAGGAAAAGATCCACTTTGTGATTCAGTTTTACCGAATCAATCCATAGAGTCTTCGCTTGCCGGACTTGTGAAAATCATTGGAGGATTGAAGGATCGTGGTAGCTTTGAAGAACACCTGGGCACTAGCCCTGCAGCCCCTCAAGGTTGTTCTGATTGAGACTCCGCCAGAGTGGAGGGGGAAGCACAATTACATCACCATCGTAAACACCCGCAGTAACTTCCCATGCCCATCATGCCACGGGTGCCACGGCGCCACCAGTCGTCGCTCCCATCCAGCCTGCAGCCATTACATTAAATCCCCGCATTTCCTCATACAGATGGGATGGGATTGACGGGAACGGGAAATCAGGGAGTTGGAAAAGGAGAAGGAGATAAATGGGATTTAAAGCCCTCCGGAAAGAGAGTGAGGCCACCCCAATTTCCCGGGTAGGATCATTGATGGTACTTCTCCCTGCACATGGCCCTGTTTTGACAAGTGAGGTGCTCTTGATCTTCCAGCGCCCTTTCTCTTTTTTTTTTTTTTTTAAAAAAAATTTACTGGGCTTCTGAATTTGGTCCATTCGGTTGATGGATTATTGGATTTGTGGTAGAGCATGCATCCATGTTATCGAATGTCCTGACGAAAAGTGTACCTACATACCACCCCGAAGTTATGCTTGCAGGCACACACCCTAGGCCGCTTCGTGATGTTACGACAACGCAGTGCAGCAACCCGCAAACTCTCTCGTACCCTGGTGGCGTACTGATGACGAGAGAGGCCTCAAGCTGGAGAAAGAGTTCAAATGACCTCGACCATATCTGATGCTGCCGCAGCCCCATCCGGCTCCTCGTTCCTGGACCTGTCAACACGCCAAGCTTACATTTTGCCCAATAGAGCATGGCTGACTTCGTTATACTCGCCGAGCCGCTTCGGCCCCCGGTGCACCCACCTAGCAATCATCAATTCCCGAGACCACGTTGAATTTCGAGGTGGAAGTCGGTCACTGGGTCTGTCCGAGCTAATGAGAGATGGAGGACACTCATGAAAAATAAAGATTACACACCGAGACCTATTGCAGGGCAAATGGGGTTCACATGTCAATGCTACCTACCTTGTAGAACTTGAACGGTAGGAAAAGGTGTTGCGCTCGCAGTTTTGCCCACGAACCCGCCCCCCTTCCCAATTCTCGATATTAGGTTTGATAGAATTCGTTTTAGCAGCGAACCGTTTCAATTACGGCAGACCCAATTCGTTGATACTGAGCTCTACAGTACATTAAGTAAGGTCACCAAAGACCAAAGAACGACTGGAAGCTCATTCACCAAATCAGCTGACTGGATGGGACGGGGCCGCGGGGGAAGTAGGAAGGCCGGGGGTAGAATTTGAGGTTGAAAGGTTAGTTGCAAAAAGCTCAATGTGGCTTTGTCATGGCGACGTCATTTTGATGCTACTTGTAGAATCCTCACGAGAACTGGGGGCGTAACTGGCTGGCTCTAATAATGATACCGAGGTGCCCCAAACAGAATTGTTGTCCAGGGGCTGGCGGGGGTGAGTTTTGCCTTGAGCCGTGACATTCATGTTCGCAGGGGGTCAGGGAGAAGAGTAAACCTTCCCTATCTGGAGCGACGGTGTGCCGACAGCCAACCGGCCCCAGTCAGCTCCACACCCCACCAGGAGGCCCTTCAGGGACTTGGAACCCTGAATTTCCTGACATCTGGGCGTTGGACCCTTCGCATTGCGCCCCCCCACTTTCCCTCGCCCCTTTTCCCCTTCGTTTGAACTTCCTCATGCTCCTCGTGGCTACCGCTGGCCCCTCTTCTTCCTCCTTGCCCCACCAGCACCCTCGTGTGAAAGCACGAACGCCGGCTTCTCCATGCATTACCCGGTGGACAAATGGAAACTTGTGCACACCCACCCCACTCAACGAAAAGTCCTTTCTGAACTCAAGCGAACATTGCATTGTTTTATCACTTCCAAATACTTTAACACTCGTTAAGGTTAGTAGAAGATTTCGAGGCCTATTTATCAATAGAAGCTATAAAAATGAAGAAGAGCTAGCTGACAGCACCTCGGGCTTTTTATTCGAGTGCCTCCTTCCACTCCGAATTTAAAGCACTGATGATGGATGGATGTTACTTATCTTTAGGTGCCCATCTTGACAGGCGCCTCCGGTGTCCGGCATTATTGTAGGCTCAATGTCTCGGACCGCCTCTGAGACCCTTTCCTTCCCTCCTCACTGAAAAAGGAGAAAAAAAGAATACCGAAAAGAAACTTTCAATAACTTGCTCGAATTCGTACTTCCCCAATGGTCCCTTTGCAACTTTCCCATTCCTCCTTGGCGACGGAAAGTTTGTCTGCACCTTGACAGCAAAATAACGTCATCGCCGACGCACCCCGTCAACCAATAATCGGCGTAATCGGGGTTGGTAGCTTGTCGAAGTTGAGAAGTTCAGGGCGGAGCTCCTTGAAAGCGGGGCCTATTGACGGATGAGGGAAAGTACTTGCATTGCGGTGGAGGGAATGCTCCGCACACCAACGTGGCCTCTCTCTCTTGGGAGCAAAAGTCTAGCTTGAGGAAAGGGAGTCTTGGGAGTATTCATTCTTCGAACAACACTGACGGTATTATTATGACTGGCCCGTCCCTCGAGGCGGGGTCAAATATTTCGACTCGCGAGCCTGGCGTTCCCTTTGACTGGGACCTCATGAGGTTATACTTGTAGAGCCACAGGAAAGCTCGCTCCCAGGGTCCTTTCGTTGCAGGTTCACGCCGGGGATGTCCCCGTGATAGGGTGTGGAAACGTGAACGGCAAGATCGAGACTAGCAAGCGTGGTGCTGAGTTGTCATATTCCCGCCCACAGCTCAATCGCGGTCACAGCGAAGTACAATCACTCCCTCTGTCCGACCTCCAACGTTTTTCCCCAGATCGCCGATTACCAAGTTCCGCATCTCTAGATATCCAACGTCAGTCAGCGATTCGTCTGGTTGAACCTTGA